GCGTCTTAAAAATAATCGAACGCTTCTTATAATATATATTAATAATATACTAATAATAGGACCTAACCTAAAATATATATCTATACTAAAAGCTTCGCTTATATAATACTTTAATATGATAAATATAGGACCTATATTATACTACCTAGGAATTAGAATAACTCGGGACCGAAAAATAAAATTATCTAATTAGACTAGAGGGTATATATTAAGTAAGTATTAGATTAATTTAGTATAAGTAATTGTAATCCGTTTATTTTACTAATAGATCTAAACTATTACCCTAAGCTAGCTTCCCCTAGATTAGACATAGAACTAGAAGTAATTACTAAATACTAGTAAAAGATTAGTAGTATTATATATATAATACTAGGAACGCGTCTAGATTGTTACGGAGTTGGAGGAACTGGGGGCGGATCACGTGTAGCATGGCCCGTGCGTGCTACTGGACTCCTGTATTTAGGCTCTCGTTCCTTTGGAACTCTCTTCTTCTCTCACTTAGTTGTTCGTTCAATATAGCAGTTTCCGGTTTGACTCAGTATTCATCACAGCAAGCAGTGGTTCACTCCACACAGTCACATTACAACTAAGTCACCTCTTCGCCTGGGAAGGCCTGTTACAATATCCCTCATTTGTTATTTGTTTTCGGCTGACGATTCTTGACTCGACGGATTTCCGACTCAACAATCCTCAGTAACACCTTGTTATACGTCACTGAACACAGCACGTGTTATACGTCCCTGAACAATGGTCCCAACACCCCCCCCTAATGCTCGCGGAGGACGACGAGGAAGAGGAAGAGGTAGGGCCTCTACCCCTCGTACACCAACCGCTGGAGCCTCTATTCCCGTCCAGCATCCGGACGATGAATCCCTTGCTCTCGAGGAGCAATTCCAGGAGCGGCAGCGCAGCGAAAGCTCCCCTCTCTCGCCGGCACCGATCACTCCTTCACAGTACGACCAGATCATGGCTAAGCTCGAAGCGCTCAGCCAAGAGAACACTCGACTTTGCGAAGGCAATGCCTCCTCAAATGACCCTATTCCTACAACCGAAAAGGGCAAAGCAGTTTCCGGTTTGACTCAGTATTCATCACAGCAAGCAGTGGTTCACTCCACACGGTCACATTACAACTAAGTCACCTCTTCGCCTGGGAAGGCCTGTTACAATATCCCTCATTTGTTATTTGTTTTCGGCTGACGATTCTTGACTCGACGGATTTCCGACTCAACAATCCTCAGTAACACCTTGTTATACGTCACTGAACACAGCACGTGTTATACGTCCCTGAACAATGGTCCCAACACCCCCCCCTAATGCTCGCGGAGGACGACGAGGAAGAGGAAGAGGTAGGGCCTCTACCCCTCGTACACCAACCGCTGGAGCCTCTATTCCCGTCCAGCATCCGGACGATGAATCCCTTGCTCTCGAGGAGCAATTCCAGGAGCGGCAGCGCAGCGAAAGCTCCCCTCTCTCGCCGGCACCGATCACTCCTTCACAGTACGACCAGATCATGGCTAAGCTCGAAGCGCTCAGCCAAGAGAACACTCGACTTTGCGAAGGCAATGCCTCCTCAAATGACCCTATTCCTACAACCGAAAAGGGCAAAGCAGTTTCCGGTTTGACTCAGTATTCATCACAGCAAGCAGTGGTTCACTCCACACGGTCACATAGATATAGTATATCTAGTCTTAGTACTTAGCTACTATTCCTACTAACTAATAAAAACATATAAATAAGTACTCTAAAAGTTATTCTAACACCTTAAAGGTATACTTAATCTTATACTAATTTTTAAAGAATAGTATATAAAACTCTAATGATATACTAATACTAGCTAGGTAGATAATAAAAATATGTAACGAATACTCAAACTGGCTAACTAAACTTGGCTGGGTGTTCGCTGGTTGGTATGCTATGATAAGAAGAAGACTATCGGGTTGTTCACTTGGAAGTGAACTCGTTACTTGTATCAAAGATGTCAAACTAATATGATAAGATTGATAACTAAGTTGAGCACGAAGCTCCTATCTAATGGCAGACGTGCCAGTCCTATATAGAACCTTCGTTCTCTCTACATCGCCTACATCACCTGTCGATGTAGTCGACCTCCTATCGCTAACATCGACTGTCTGATAAGATTGATAACTAAGTTGAGCACGAAGCTCCTATCTAATGGCAGACGTGCCAGTCCTATATAGAACCTTCGTTCTCTCTACATCGCCTACATCACCTGTCGATGTAGTCGACCTCCTATCGCTAACATCGACTGTCGATACAGGCGATGCGATTGTTCACGTGACTACATACACGAGAAATCCCTGGATCGCTTAGCTAGTCTAAGCATCCCTATTTGCTATAAGAAACCTGGATGTGCCTGTCGAGGGTTGCGCCTCTTTATTATGACAAGTATCACGTGAGCACGTGATTCGTGACAAAATACTAGCTAATTAACGTTAGAATACTTATTTAATCTTAGAAGTAGAGCTATATTATAGAGCTTAAAACAATAAGCTACTATAGCTCTATTAACCTATAAAGCCGAATTATTTAGTTAAACTTTAGCTGTGACGGTTCTGACCGCCACTACGCTACAGACCAGTCCCTGGCTGGAACTCGGCTAAGCAGGTGCGCTTGGCACCTCCTGTATATAAGAGCCTCCAGCTCCTGAGCTTCTGTCCTTTCTTCTCTTCTCTCCTCAGCTTAGAATCTTCGTATAGACAGTTCCACAGTGTCAATCTCACCACTCGTGATACCTGACGTAGTCGTGCACTCTTGCGCGGTCCATCAGCTGTGCGTGTCGTCACATTAGCTAGAAAAGAAGCGATTTAGCTTTAATAATTACTCTAGGAGCTTAGTATTTAAACAAACGATAAACCTATACTTATATTCGCTAATAACTAGGGAGCTATTACGCTATTTAAAAACCCTTACTATACGACCTAGATAAAATATATTAGAATCTAGTATTAATAGTAGTAGGAATAAGTAGAATTTAGTATAATTATATATAAATATATCTTTATAAACTATATAGCTACTAACGGTCTTATAAAAGCTCTTTTACGAGAAAGGTTATATAAATTTAGGGATATACTAGGATTAAGAATCTAGGAATAGCCTTACTTTTTGTAGTACGGATTAAGGGGGCTATTAAAATTACGTAATCCGTCCTATTGTATTAAGTCTACTTTACTATAGACTCTTTGTTAGCTAGATATATATAAACTAGCTATATCCATAGTAGACTCTTTGTTAGCTAGATACATATAAACTAGCTACATCTATAGTAGAATAATCAAGCACTTAACCAGCTTCTCATTTACCATATTTCATCAGTCCGAACAATACTAGGAACTTGCAAGCGTTTCCCAGAGCACATCAAGTACTCCGATGCTTATGATTGTCGACCTTTAAGATCCTTGGACAATAACGGCGGATCCAATGCCATGGGCTTCAAGGAATTCATGTCGGTTAGTGCGGCACTTTCTTCGACTCCTACATCGGTGGCTACCGGTCACTCTACAATGAAAGCTAGCGAGAATAGATTCCTTAAGGGGTTGTTCTATAACGGCGTAAATAACCAGACCATTTTCTGGGATGCGAATATATGAATTCATATATAGTGGTGGTGTTTACTCACGATATTATACCCCCTATTCTACTCGTTATACACCCCTTAAAGACGTAACAGAGGGATATTGTAGAATGGGCCATTATAGCGATAAATGCCTGCCATAATGGCAACCTTAATCCTCATGGTAGTACTGCTATATTAGTATAATTGACCAAAAGATCTAGCTTTTACCGTAACGCACATTAAGCAATCTATCGTAACTTAGTCTTGGTTCTATGGATTCGCGAGAACTGTGGGTTTGTACGATACACGGCGTATAATTATTAGGTTGACGCATCCCGAGAGAGAACAATATTGCGTATTTATACCCTAAATACGCGGTGGGACACATCATGGGGCCTACAGTATGGTAACGCTAATGAGGCTGCAAAATTGCATACCTCTTCCTAGTACACAATGACTCCTATCTGGACTATCAAATAATACATGTTGTTAAAGTGCTAGTATGAAAAGGTTTCCTTTCCCAAATCCGAATCTGTCTTATTCCGCTCGTTGAAATTCGGGAACTTAAGTGCAAACACTCGGTGCAAAGAGTTACACCCATTCTACAATGATTTCTTATGGTTTAATCCTTGCTCTAATCATATGAGCACCACTCTTACACCCTCCTATAGTGTTCAAGTCAGAACTACAATACCTCGCTTAATGTAGATGTAGTATAGCCGAGATGCTTGGCAGTCTAGCCCGTGCTCCTACCTTAAATAGCACTTAGTTTAGCCTTCCTCGTCTTGTTTTTGTGCCTTCATGGCCTCTCATGTCCTCTAAAATCCACATACTAGCCTCTCCTTGAGCAGCCTAGTTAAGTGCCCTTGGTATTATTAGCTCTAGGTAGGGCTAGCTAGGGAACATGAAAACACTGGTAAAACATCTTACATTCATCTCGTATCCTCTTACGGTATTTCAGGATTCAGTATAGTTGCTTAACCTCCCTTGAACGAATCCAATCTTAGTTCAAAGCTTAACATGTTCTATATATCTCTATTCCAATTCGTAACTCACGCTTACGCTTAATAGCATTTCTAGCGCAAAACTACCAAGGTAGGTGATCGACGTGGATTCGAAGATCTGTATTCCTATCAGGATGGACGGAAAACCCCACTGTCGTAAGAGGGAGGGGAGAGGTGAACGTTCCTGAATACTGGGCTGGAAACAGATATAAAATATTATGAGAAAACCCTAACAGAGACAATCTAGGTAATCTCTTCGCTAATAGTTCTCAGGAATATGAAAAATCGAACCACAGAGCAATTATATATTGAGAAAAGAGGGATTGAACTTCATTCTGCTTCAAGGGCAAGAGGAGATGATTACATTTTTGTTTTTGCTAATGGTACACGCTTAACCACACACCAATAAATCAATACACTTATCTTAGCCCGAGCAAAAACTTTCCACCTCCCTCCTTTCCTGCCTCGCCACCACCTGGTAGATAGGTCACATTTGGGTTACCCGCGAGCGTCTGAGCGATCTCTCTACTCGCCTCGATCCTTCTGATCATAATCAAACCATCTCCAGCCTTTGCCACCGCCTTGCTAATAGTGTCCGCGGACTCAGCCTCTCCCTCTGCTCTGATGACGTTGGCCTGTCTCTCCTGCTCGGCCTTCTCGACGATGAATCGAGCTCTCTCGGCATCTTGTTGCGCGATTTGCTTCTGCTCGACTGCTCTTGTGAATTCCCGTCCGAAGGTCATGTGTGTGATTGATACATCCTCGAGAGCGATGTTGAATTCTTGCGCGCGCTTGAGAAGATCAGTACGGATTCTGTTGCTGACTGCTTCACGTTGGGTGATGAGTTCTGCGGCGTCGAATTGGGCGACGATGGATTTTAGGACTTCATTCCCAATGGATGGTAGAACACGCTCATCGTAATCTTGACCAAGATTCTATTTACTGTCAGTTTCCTTCCCGGACCACTTGGAATTGGGGATATCAAAATAACATACCTGGTAAATCTTTGGCAACGCCTGTACATCCGGACGATGTAAAACTCTCAGCGTCAAGCTCACCATCTGCAAATCCTTGCTACCCGTCGTCGTGGAAATATTTCTAGGCTTCGTGCGAACATCGTAGATGATACTCTTCTGTAACCAGGGAATCAAGAAATGGGTGCCCTCGTTCACGACCTTGTCTTTAACTCCACTCATGCGATCGAAAATGACTGCTCTAGTTCCTCCCTTGACATCGTAGATGGAAGCCTGCGCGAGAGTGCCGACGGCCGTAAGAGGGATTGCCCATTTGTAGACTGACTGCAGGACGGACGCCATGGTGATGGTGATGGTGAGATTTGTGGATGTGCAGGTGATGCGGATTTGGGAGGGGCAGGAGTTGAGTTGCGCGTAGTGGAGTGAAGCTCTCCCTCTCTCTGATGCGCATTGCAGTGCTCTTTTCCATTTGGCGCTAAAAGTGCAGGGGTTGCGGAGAGAATGAAGCAACCTTCAACCACCGTCAAGACAACACCAAACGCCATTGAACATCACCATCTCGACCGCTATACACAATGAGACCCTCACAAATGCTCCGGTCCGGTGGCAGCTCGCCCATCGGAAAATATGGAAAGTGAGTAGAGCCCTGAGGCAGAACAGGAGGACAGGAAGAGCGGGGGCACTGGATGAAGAGGGTTGGCACCATTGCCACAGCAGCGGCGGGCTTGCGCTCGAGGAACAATTGGGGCTCTGGAGGGGATATCACTTGACGGGCAGATGCTGATTGTTGATTCTATAGATACCTCGGAGAATGGGGAAATCTTGGTGAGTGCTGCGAGCTCTTGAGCTGCCTCTAGTTACCCTTCCTTCTTTCCTCAACGACGAGCACAAGAACGGCGACGACACGATCCAGTGGAGTATGAGAGAGCAGAAGGACGGTTGCAGGAAGGTTACTGCGCTGGGAGGGATAGCATGGGCCGTAACCAGGGGCGGAAATCGCTGGATGATTCAAGTACTAACGTACGGCATGACAGGCTCGCAACCACAGAGGGGTGTTATCACATACGCTCTAAGCAACAATGCACAACGTCCTCTGGCAGGTACCCTTAACGCCGCCATCTTCAACACATTCCGAAGATTTTCAGGCCAAGTCTTCTACTTCGCACCACCGATGATTGTTGGATACTTTGCCATGTCGTGGGCTATCGAAAGGTGAGTTGCACTATTTAGGCATGCTATGGGCATTTAATGGAACAGCCACTGATTCAAACGTGTGAAGAAATGAATACCTGAACTCCAAAGCCGGGATTGCAGAGTTTGGCGAGGACGAGTAAAGGATTCCAAATAGTGCCGTGGTGTGCTCCGGTTGAGGGGACCAAGAATTCACAGAAGTGATGGACGATGGGGGGGGACTGGGGGAGAGAAGGGTGTATAGTAGTAGACTGCATTGCAAACTCCAAGAGTACATCTGCATCTGTTTCCAGGAACCGACTATTTTTCCAATGATGACATTTTTCAGCGGTACTATCGTGATGTAGTTGTTACTTATATACAATATGCTCTACATATATGTGATCAAGCAGTAAATCCAGGTTTCGCTCACAAGTGAATTCCATCAGTGACTTTATTGCACAGTTGTATTTGATCATTTCATCTGAAAGTTCGAGACTACCCAATTTGCCGACTTGAGTAGGCCCTCCCGGTGATAAAGCTCTCCACTTCTTCGGGACTAGCGCGGCCCCAAAAAATAATTCTTAAGGAAGCGAAGCGCAAAAAGTTCGCGCCCACTACTTCGACAAACCACTCCCTCCTACCACCATTCCCAATCGCAAACGCAAAACATCCAAGATGGGCAAAGATAAATCCAGCTCCAAGGACTCGTCCAAGAAAGAAAAGAAGGAAAAGCGCAGCGAGAAAGACGGCGTCAAGAAGTCCAAGAAGGACAAAAAGTCCAAGCTCAATGGTGAGAATATCGCCGCTGCGGTCGCGGAGGTGACGAAGGAGAAGGAGGAGAGCGACGAGGAAGAGGTCGTGGTCAAGGCAGTTGCAGTCAAAGGAGATGACATGGATGTGGTGGTGGCTCTGAAGCCTGTGGGTGCGCTGGTGCCTTTCGCTGCTCCGTTGGCGGATGAGAAGGTTGCAAAGAAGGTGCTCAAGGGCGTTAAGAAAGGTTGGTTCTCTCTTTCCATTCCATCTCTTTTCCCGGGACTCTCAAATATCTGGGCGATTCCAATTGACCATATCCATTCTAACTATTTTCGCGTCTTAGCCGCAAAGAACAAGACTCTCAAACGAGGAGTCAAGGAAGTCGTCAAGGCCCTCCGAAAGTCCCCACAAGGCGCCCCAGCTTCAATTCCCGGAATCGTTGTCCTTGCTGCCGATATCTCACCTATGGATGTCATCTCCCATATCCCAGTACTGTGCGAAGACCACAACGTACCATACATCTTCGTCACCTCGCGCGCCGAGCTGGGAGCCGCTGGAAACACCAAGAGACCGACTAGTGTGGTGATGGTCAGTGAGAAGATCAGCGGGAAGAAGGGTGAGAAGGTTGAAGTGGACGCGGAATTCGCAGAGGTGTACAAGGATTTGTTGAAGACAGTTGAGAAAGAGGCAAGAAATATCAGGGTATAAAATCCTTAGAAGGGTGCATGGGCCTGGGTTAGTGCAGAGGATGTGTAGATGGGCGGATGGATCTACGATTGATGTAGAGTTTGGTCTCCCTCTTTTGTTTTTGACACTTAGGGGGCGGTGTATCATACCAACTGGCGAGTCTCTGTGTGGTCTTTCTCACTTCAAATTGGCGTTAAGGGATTGGGTGGGAATGCAAAAAATAAGTAAAATGTTCATGATTGCTCAATTTGATTTACCTTGTTTACTTGACAGGAAAGCGGTGCCATAATTCTAATATCTTGGCAAGCGGTGAAAAGTCCAACCTCAAGGGTTTGAATTTCCACTCTGATTCCCATCTATAATAACACTCTCTTCCTCACTCTCCACTCCTTACTCTCCTAATCATACAGCTCCACTGGCGGCTCTTTTTTCTCAATTGGTATCGCAAACTCATGCGTATCTCTCCCGCCATCTTCATACTTGGAGCTGCGTGTGAAGTTCACCTCTTTTTGCTCTTTTGGCTCTCGTCTAGGACGTCCTCTACCCATTTGCGAGAACTCCTCTTCGGACCTTTCTATCTTCAAGATGGATTTCTGTCTTTGTTTAGCAAAACTTGTTAATGACGTAATGGAAGGGAGGGAAGGAACTCACTCGCGGTTGAAAATTGTTAGGAGCTGGTATGTTTGGACCTGGCAAATTGGTTCGCCATGATGCCATGGTAATTTTTGGGTGCCCTGCTACTACTGCATGTGCATTGGGATTTGCCTGGTAGACTTGTTGCGGTGGAACTTGTTGTCCAGGGTCTGGACTTGGATCGTTTGTCTTTCCTTGGCTATGTTGGTAGGTGTAGAAATCTTGTCGTCGAACTTCGTGATTTGGATGAGGAGCATTTTGTAGACTTGGGACAGTAGGTGGAACAGTAGGACGAGGGTGTTGTTGCTTATTTTTGTGAGCAGCCGCTTTTTCACGAGCAGCTTTGCCCTCCAAGAAAGCTCTATCCCAGGCGAGAACCCGTCGCTTTTCTTCCTCTTCTTCTTCCGCTCGCCGTCTTGCCTTTTCTCGATCGGTGTATCCACAGGCATGTTCTTTGCCCTTGTCTGGTTTGCTTTCTCTTAGGGGTTGTACGTGAGTACCGTGATTTCCTCCTGGCTGAGAGCTCGATGGACGGTCACGGTGTTTGGACGAATTTTGAGGTATCGGTGTTGGTGCAGCAGGAAAAACAGCCGACTTTGGTTGATAGGGTGGCGTTTTAATAGAAAGGGGCTCTGGTGCGGTTGGGAACAGTCCATCTGGGGGGCGGTTAGCTCGGACAAGCCTGTTTTGCGACTCCATATTGAAAATCAACTGAGATGAGTGAAAGACCAAGTTGGACTCTTGGCCGGATTCAAAACATTTCCTAGGGTGGAGTGATTAAGAAGGAAATATTTTTCTTACCTTCTGTTCCACTCACCTTTTCATAGTCCATTGTCTCACTCGGAACTTCATCAACAGTCACTACTGCATCATCATCTTCTGAGATGTGAATTGTCTCCCAGATCTCAATCACTGAATCTGCTTGTTGACCGATGATTGAGTTGTTTTCATCCAATGATGCCCAGGGGATTTCGTCCGAGCCTTCTGAATCATGGTCCGATTCTGACCAGTGATCTGATGCTTCGTAGAATTGTGGATCTTGTGTATCGACTGGTTCGTCCAACTCATAAGGTTCATCGGAAGATTCATGGGGCGATCGTTGTGTTTCGTCGCACTCAACGATGTTGGGGGAATACCTGCTCCTCGGAAAGAGGGGGCTCGGCTAATTTTGGCTCCTCGGGGTTTTCTGGTACCTCGTTGGTAGAACTCAAGGACGGTTCCGCGTTGCAAAATTGAGCTTCTGCTTCCAATACAGAGGGAAGAAGCGCTCTAGTTGTTGAGGCAGCTTCTTGAGGTTGCAAGTCAGAAGTATCAGTGCCGTCCTCTCCCGCTTTCTCCTCCCGCTCAGCAACCGCAGCATTGACCCTCCCTTTCTCCTTCTTCCTTACCTCCTCAACCATCTTCACTACCCTCCTAATCTCCCCAAAGAGAATCTCAAAACTCGACTCCGCCCCATCCCCATGCCCTTTCTTGAAATTCGAAATCCCAACCTCGACACCTCCTCTCCTCTCCTCCCCTTCTAAAAGCGGTCCCCCACACTTAGTACAATTGGAATCCTCAGACAATATCTCCCAATAATACGACAGCCACCTCACCTTTCCCTTGCAGTCTTCCAACTCCCCCTTTCCCCCGATAGTAGCTTCCACGCTCTCAATTTGCTTCATGACCGTCTTTACAAACAGATTCCAAAGATTCTTACCCCCATACGAAAGGAGCAGCCATCTTGTTACAACAATCTCCTCTGGGTCCGAGAAGGCATCGAGTTTCAAGGGGGGACTAAGGAAGGAGAGACGTTTGAGGAGAGCTTGAAGGGGTGCAGAGAGAGAGGCGTTTACTTCGGAGGTTGAGAGTGCGGCGGTGAGGTTCCTTTGGATGATGGCTGGGTTGGCGTGCTGGAAGAGGAAGTCTACTAGGTTGAGGTCCCAGACTTTCCGTCCTGTGGGGGCATTTGCTTGGAACTCTGGGTGTTGTTTGTCAGGCTTGTTAAGTGAGGATGGGAGGGGGATTTACTCATTGTATTTTTCAGTTGTGTTACTGTAATTTGCTGTTCTATTGTGGGGTTTTTGGGAAATCGAGGTACCAAGACGTTTTGCTCTTGTAACTTCTGGGAGTTTGGAAGGATTCTTAGGAAGACATGGAGATAGAAAAGAAATATGATGACTTTTATCTTGAAGTCTCAACAAGGGCGTGTCTGAATAGAAAGCCTGAATACGTGAATAGTTAAGTCTTCTGAATCCCAAAATCGGCTAAAATTATATACTGTGGAAGTGAAGAATCCAGGTAGTGAATTTGAACGAAAAAGTCAAGATTAACAGCCAGATGCGCAGCTCTGAGTCTTGCAAGATTGGCTCCTCAATATCTTAGAAACACATTTGCTCCTCAAAAGCGTTATAATGAAATAATTAGGGGCGAAAATTTCCCGAGACTACGGAAGTTGTGCGAAAACTTCATATCGGACGCCGCATAAAGCCTCTTTCACTGCTCTTCCCTCTCTTCATCATTGGGGTTCGGGTTAGGTGCAGGTGGTGGTGGGGTATCATCGTAGTCGTCATCGTCGTCACCAGGCACAATCTTCTCCAACTTCTGAGTGATCTCCGCGAATGGTTGTTTCTGAGAAGATCGCAGTTAGCCAAATTAGATTTCTTGGGAATTCATAAACTTACAAACGAGTTCAATCTTGGATCTTGTAGAGTCGGGACATAGCGTGCTGGGATAACATAATTGGAGTCCTTGTCTTGCGTGCCTTCCGTATCTTTCTTTCTCTCGCGTCCATGCCTGGAGTGCGTGTAGCGACCATCCCTACCAACAATCATTAATAGTGTATGAGAAATGAATCAGGCAAAACTTACGTGAATTAAATAGTGTGCTCATAAGGCCAATGACGCATACCTGAACTTTTAGCACTTTCTGGGATCCAGTTCTCTCACTGCAATCTTGGTCTCGCGGATTGCTGTCATATCGAAACCACGTTTAAGCATCAATCGTTCGAAGTCCGCTTGTTCGGCACTGATGTTAATCCTCTTTACAGCCTGACGCCTGGCCTTACCCGCCCGTCTTCCGTCCTAGTTTAAGCAATGTTAGTGCCTGTCAATTGACATGTTGCCTTGTCGAAGGTAAGTAGAATGCAATGTGAGTAGGGGTAGAGGCCCATCAGAAATATACAACATTCAATCTGACAGTGGAAGAGACACGTTCCAATTTGACGTTGGAAGAGGGGGCGATGGCGAGCAAGCGTGATTTCCCAAAATCCAGATAGATTGTAAGCGAGCATGACATGATTCCCAAATTTCAGATAGATAGGTGTGAGAGGAAGGATATGAAAGGGTTGTAACTTACACCGACTCTCCTCGCAGTCGCACCCGTCGCCGGTCCCACAGAGGGACTAACGACGTTGTCACTCGCTTGTCCAGAAACGATGGTAGTGGTAGTGGCGGTGGCGTAGTAGGAGTGGTGCAGTGATGCAGTGGTGATGCTGGTGGTGCAGTGGTACTCACAGTTGGAGACCAAAGTGGAGGTGAAAGTGTGAAAGTGTTAATCGAGGGTTGAAGGCGAGAAGGAAAAGTTTTCAAAATGGAAACTGAACAAGCTGGCTCCTTCCTCGCCTAATCGGGTCATGTGCCTGCCACGTTAGTGACTCCCGTCAACCAGACTTGATTGTTGTTTGCCACCTAGCAACGCTCCTCCATGGCTGCAGGTGCCGCAGAAGAAGAAAGTCCTGGCTTGAAATTATGTACGCCATTGTACATCTAGGAAGGTGCTATCCTTAGTATGGCATGCGGTAATACCATAACAAGCACTTGAAGGCATACGAGATTTCAGCTCCCCCTCGGTTATGCGCATAGGTAGATTTCCAAAAGCAAAGCTTCACATACAACACAACACGACCCATTCCCCATGCTTCAGTGTATCTAGGTACGATGTATGTCGTATGCTGTAGAATATCCAAGTTCCGTTGCTACCCAAGTACCGAGGTACTTAGGAGTTACTTCCCTACTCGGTAGTCTTGAGCATGTCAGGGTCAACAATAGTAATAGTAGTAGTTGAGAAGCAAGGAGCGGCCCAAACACTTAATCATCGTCTTCCCCGCTTCTAGCAAATCTACTACAGCTCCTGGCACGTCTTAATCCTTTAGTAATACTAATATTGTAATACCTGGTGCCGTCTCTAGAGGTATTAAGAATTCCCGATTTAACGACAAGAAAAATTCGGGATGATTTTAAAGGAACTATAACTACTTTTGAAATTGAGTTATAGTAGTTAAACTAAGAATTAAGATAATATTTAAAAACGGCTTTCCTAGATATAATTAATTAAACTAAAAAAAGAACTAAAATATTAACGCTAAAGAGACTAAAAATTACTATAATTTCCTTAGAAGGGATAGCTAAGTTTTTAAAATAGTTATATATAAGAGGGAAACTATAATAAAACTATTTCTAGATAATTTAAAATATAGAAGTTTTTTAATTTATAACTATTTATTATAAAACCTATTTTAGATTTTAAACTAATATGAAACTATTTTCCTTATAAATAGTCTTAGACTTATAATTATTTTTTATATTATTAGTTTAATTTATAAATAGTCTAAGAAGTATTATTAAACGCTTCTAGAATACTTCTAAACTAGTCTTAAAATACTTCGAGAAACTTATTCCTAGAGCTATATATAGGTGCGTAGAGTTATAGAGTATAAGCTAGATTATATACTCGGTAATACTCTTATACGCTTAACTCTAACGCTATAAAAATACAAGTAATAAATTTAGTTAATTTAGCGAAATTTAATAGGTATATATTATAAGTAGTTTAATATATAGTAAAGTAATCTCTTAATATTATAATACCTATAAGGTTTATATTTATAAGCGCTTATATAAGTCTACTAGAACTACCTTATATATTCTACTTATATAATTAAGTATATCTAGAGGTAAAATCTAAGGGACTATTCTAAAACTATTCTAGAAGCGTTCTAGAACTATTTGAGAACTATTTTATTAATATAACTAACTAATATTTAAAACTATTTTTATATAAAACTTCTAGGTAAGAGTTTCTAGATTATTTAAAAAACTCTATTTTTCCTTTTAAAATAGTTTTATTTCTATTTTACTATTAAATAATTCTAAGTAATAGTTAACTTAATCTTAATATAAGAGCCTTAAGGGAGACTTTTATATTCTTAGTATAAACTAAAACTCATATATATTACTTTATATTTCTATATAACTATACTAAGTTATACTAAGAGCTATATATATACTTAAGCCTTACTTACATACGTATATAACGCTAACTCTTTATACCTATATAGTTATACTTTTATATATTTATTATAATATATTATACTTCTTTAGTTATATTATTTTAGACCTACTTTATTCGAGTACTTAATACTCGAACTCTTATACTTACTTAGCTCTATTAAAGGGATCTTATAATATTTATATCCTTAGGCTTAGCTTCGTATATAGGATTCTTTCGAGTACTAGCTTTATAAGATAAAGTAATCTTCTTAGGAGTAGATTAGTAATTAGTATACTATCCCTTTATACGGAATATATATAGCGCCTAGGCTTAGTATAGGGCTTTAAGCGAGCCGTAGCGCCGTTATACCTAATTAGAACGTGCTAAGTATTAAACTAGTACTTTAGTAGAGGGTACGAGAGGCTTATCGCGGCCTAGGTATAGTAGTAGTATTAGTAGTTATCTAAGGGGTCTTTTAATAACCTTTCTAGCGCTCTTTTTAACCTTATTATTCTATATTAAAGGATCGTTTTTCCTTTATTTTACGTAGGGTATATCGAATATAAGAAAGAAGGAGTAGTAGTAGTAGTAGAAGTAGTAGAAGCTATACGCGTTCGAGACCTAACGTTAGGGCTAAGCCTTAGCGCTATATATATTTTATACGAAGGGATAAGGTAAGGTTAAATAAGTATAATAAGTAATAATAAATAAATAAATACTAGCTTCTTAGTATATAAACTATTCTTAAGATTGGAGTTATTATTACTATTAAATAATAAAGGTTTTAATATATATTTACTATTAGTATTTAATTTATTAATAGAAAAACTAGAAGTAGAAATCGCCTTCTTTATTATAGCTATATAGAATACTATTAGTAGTTCTACTAGTAATACCTTAAAGGACTAGCTAGTAGTAGTAACCTAACTTTAAGACTTAGAGGGCCGGCTAGTAGTAGTTACCTACCTTACTTTAAGATATAGTCTTAGTTACCTAGAATAATAGTATTATAATACTTCTTACGTACCTACTGTAACGAATACTCAAACTGGCTAACTAAACTTGGCTGGGTGTTCGCTGGTTGGTATGCTATGATAAGAAGAAGACTATCGGGTTGTTCACTTGGAAGTGAACTCGTTACTTGTATCAAAGATGTCAAACTGATATGATAATTGGTATGCTATGATAAGAAGAAGACTATCGGGTTGTTCACTTGGAAGTGAACTCGTTACTTGTATCAAAGATGTCAAACTGATATGATAAGATTGATAACTAAGTTGAGCACGAAGCTCCTATCTAATGGCAGACGTGCCAGTCTTATATAGAACCTTCGTTCTCTGTGGTCGCCATGGTCGACCTGGTCGACCATGTCGCTCGTCACGTGATTCCTAGTCCAAGGAAATCCTTGGATCGCTTAGCTAACCTAAACGATCCCTATTTGCTATAAGTCTACGGATGTGCTTAATCTTGTCAGGGCGCCGCCTGGTCTTCACTCTTCACGTGTTAACACGTGATTCGTGACACCTACCACTATAAATTTAACTATTATTAGAATATATTTAGAAATAACTCTATTATAAGTTTGATTTAAGTTAAATTTAATTTTAAATATAATCTAATTATATTTAAGATTTTAACTTAGATTTAACTAGTATTAGAATATAGTTCGATTTATAGTTAACTTAAAGCTAGACTTAAGTTTAAATATAGCTCCAATATAGTTCGAATATATTAAAATGTAATTAAAATTTGGAATATATTTGGAATATATTCTAATTATATTTAAGATTTAAATTTAGATTTAATTAATATTAGAATATAATTTAATTTATAGTTAATTTATATCTAGATTTAAATTAAAACATAGTTAAAATATAGTTAAAATATAGTTAAAATATAGTTAAAATATATTTAAATTATATTATAATTAGACTTATATTAGAATATTATTAAACTTATAGTTTAATGTAAGTTAGTACTAGGTTATACTAAGTTCTAGTACTATTCTAGTAACTATTAGATTAAATAAAACTAAAAAGTACTTAGAATAATCTTTTATTTAATATAAAAAAAAACATAGTTCTTTTTTTCTTTTATAATTCTCTTTTTATTTTATATAGTAATTAGCTCTGAACTTAGTATCCCTATACGTTTTAGACCTTGTGCTATAAGCCTATATATCCCGAGGTTTAGCCGAGGTAGCGGATAGCGGGCGGCGTACTCCGTAGCTAGGACTAAGGCGACGCTAGGACCTAGCGCGGGCGCCGTCGGTGCACGGGCTACCCGACTATCCTACCTTTCCGACTCGAAGTACTCGACTACTCTTCCTTCGAAGTACTCGACTACTCTTCCTTCGAAGTACTCGACTACTCTTCCTTCGAAGTACTCGACTACTCTCCCTTCGAAGTACTCGACTACTCTCCCTTCGAAGTACTCGACTACTCTACCTTCGAAGTACTCGACTACTCTTCCTTCGAAGCGTACGATGACGAGCACTTACATAACGACCTATATACAGTAGTAGTATAGCTAGTATATAGTAGTAGTATAGCTAGTATATAGTAGTAGTATAGCTAGTATATAGTAGTAGTATAGCTAGTATATAGTAGTAGTATATCTTATAGAATGACCCGGGATTCTTAGGACGGTCGTATAACCGTTATATAATAATCATAAAAAGATAAGTATTAGTAAAAGATAACTATCCCTTAATTAATTATTATATTATACTTCTCTAGTAAGAACTATTTTATTTAGTAATAGTTTAGGTACAATTAAGAATTTCTTAATTATTCATAGTAGTGATCGTTACCCTAGGGCTAAGCTTAACGTTACTTTAGATAATCGTTTATAATAGTCCTAGGAGCGTTCTAGGAGCGTTCTAGGGCCGTTCCCTAGCTACTTAGTAAGCGGTGCGCTAAGACAAGGAATACATTTACGTATACCCTCTACTACGTTATATATCTACCCGGGCCGTCCTCTCGCCTATATTCGAGTAGCGCGCAGGGTTATACCTATGTAGTACGCGGGTAAAATTTGTTCGAATCGAGCGAATCTAAAACTTAAATTTATATAGCGTTAAGGTTAAGCCTATAGGGGTAGTACTAAGTACTTATATTTATCTACATAACCCTTACTTCTCTAGTTATCTAAAAGGGTTCTCGGGAACTATCCTAGAACTATCCTAGGATAGTTATAAAAGATAACTATTCTCTAACGTGCATGTATAGCGAACCGGCCAAACAAGCGAACCGGCCAAAATTTTCTACACTCGCGATTGAAATTGTAAGAACTTTACCACAACGCCTCTAATTAAAAAACACTATTCAGAAATTTCTTCCTCAGATACTTCCTCTATAATATTACAGGTGCGCGTATTATGACCAGTCTCTCCGCAGTTGCCACAGCGCCGTGCACGTGATTCTTCCCTCGGCTTCCGACCACTACTTCTCTTTATTTCCTGCATTACCTGCTCACCAACGTCTCTATCATCCTGTAGGTCCTGCGCTTCCTGTTGACTAAGTGATCCTCCTTGCTGTAGGCGTGTTTTTTTAGCTCTACGGCGCTTACTTAGTACTTCATTTGCTTGTCGAAGTCTCTGGTTCTCAGCTTTCAATAGTACTATCTGGTGCATTACTTTTGATGCACCCTTCGTAAACTGGTCAATGGCCTCGTAAATAGGGGTTGGAGAGCTACTTTGGTGGCGTAAAATTCGATCTTTAATAAATGCAGTCTGTGATAAGGCTTCAGTAGGGTTATTTGGTGTCTGGGAAACCCAAGGCTGAGCGGAATACGGGGGGGAGTTTGGAGGCGTTGGCGTCTTTAGCTTAAGATCAAGTGTAGAAATTACACTTTCTGGGTCAAATGGAAGAAGCCCAGCCCCTCGGAACCCTCCTCGGATATTGCTTTCTGTCATTGCAATATTAAATGCGGCGTGGAAGGCAGGAAAGAAATCATCCTTAGTAATATGGATAATCGGAGCCCGCATCATATCTTCAATTTGCTGACCATATGCCCTTTTCAAAGGGCTAAAACAGCCAACGTCGAGTGGCTGGAGTATATGAGAAGAATGAGCAGGCATACAAAGAGTGATAATGTTGTTTTCCTTGCAATATTCCTCAAATTCGTCGGAGTGGTGGCTTTCATGGCCGTCGAGGACTAATAGACGATAACCACCAATAGATTGGGACTTTGTATGCTTCTCAAAATGTCGAATCCAATCCATGCCTTTCTCATTTGTTGTCCAACCATTTTCAGTAATAGCAATCACCCAGTTAGGTGGAAATCCACTGTTTTGGTACCAAGAAGCGAGGTGATTTTTTGCGGCAACAATCACAAACGGTGGAACACACCAGCCTTGGGCATTAACCCCCTGGATTACTGTAACCCATTCCCGATTACCAGGCTGTACTCTTTTTGCTTTTACACGTCCTTCTGAGCTTGTAATAACCATTGCAGTTGAGATAACGCCCATCATAAACCCAGTCTCGTCAAAGTTGTAGATATCTGCATCGTAGATTCCGTACTTCGCTATTGTGTTTCGTACAAGCTCAAACCAGCCTCATTCGCTCAAACCAGCCACGAATGACTTCTGGATCTTCGCACTTAGCTCTCGGATAGTCGTATTTTCGTTGGAAGCGTGTCTGGAGTTCTGGGCGGCGCTTAACAAAGTTATAAGCCCAACGCGTCCCGACGCGTGGCGCGTCGCGTGCTTCAAGAAGTCGATTTGCTATATCTTCAATTACAGATATCCGCGGAGGAAATCCTTTTGTAGCTAGGTCGAGGATATGTTGAACAAGTACTGATTCCTCTAGCTCGGTCATTTTCCGTGAATTGGCTAAAATATCGCGTCGTGAAGGTATACCAAGCAAACGTCGACCTAGCTTCCGGTGGTCTACAGAATAGGTCCTGGCAGCAGCTCGAGCACGTAAATTTGGGTCTTTTTGCATAGCTTGGATAGCTAAGACTAACCGGCTTTCGTCATTTTTCAGAGGCATCCTTCGTTGTAGAGAAATATAATATTTCGTGGAGGTGTGGTGGGGTCGCCGGGTTTTGGCCGGTTCGCTTGTTTGGCCGGTTCGCTATACATGCACGTTAGTTATTGTCTAAAAAGTAATGATGGTTGATATTTTGTACCTAAAATTACCTTTGTTTTGGGGTAGTTTGGAGGGTGTTTCTATAGGTGGTTTACGAGAGAGAATAGAAGGGGGGATGGGGGGGTGTATGTGGTGGTGGTGTTTTTTTGTTGAATTTAGAATGGTCGGAGTGATATTTGTTAAGGCCCAAGAGGGTTTAGAGTCTTCTAAGGATAGGGTATACTGAACTGATTAGTTCGAAGTCGGACTGGTTGTTTCTCCATATTATGTATACGAAGGATTAATAATATCGAGTGTTTTGAATGGTAATATTTTGTCGTTAATAGGTACTTCGTTCTAAGCGAAATAATTATAACTTTCAAAGGGCTAAGGCTAGCGAGAGGGTTAAATCCCCCGGAAAACTTATAATTATTTCGCCTAGGATAAAGTAAAATGACCTTATTGAGAATATTAGGTGGGCCGGTGGAGTACGGAGAAGCTGGCAAGCTAGGCTACTTTTAAGCTATTTAGAGAACAGCTTCCTACGAGTCCCTCGGTAGAAAACTCCGACAACCCGCTTATTGTGATCTTCCGAGTATGAGCAGAGGGATTCTACGAAGTGTAGAAGCTTCTAATTTATACTATTCTATACTTTACCCGCATACTTAGTATTTTTCATACAGTAAGTTCGATTTGCTACGGTATTGAAACGTTTTTATTATTCCCGGATCTGTCTATAGATTTTCATCGCTTAAAGGCGAAAGCTGGATAGTGAAATTTATAACCTTTGGTAGAACCGTAGAAGTATATAATTCAAAATAACTGTAGCTAACAATTGTAGGAGTAAACAAAACCTCGCTTGATTTTCTGGGGATTTCTTCGTAAGGATAAGATTTTTATACTTGTTTTATAGTGCTTGTTGAAAATTGTTTCAAGTCATTCTTCTTTAATACCCAAGGATACCCTTTCACAGCGTGTTCTTCTTTCTCGTTTTACGGTGATATGATTATCTCTTACAGTCTGCAAAAGTCAAAGTGATTACTTAGAATCAAGGAATACCCGTCTATGATCCTTCATTTACCGTGTCCGGCATCTGGTTTCTAGTGGTACCAGTGAACTTGCATGGTAAACAAACACCAACATTGGGATCTATTTTAACCCCGATCTTCGACGACAACGCATGTTAATCCTGTATATTTGGGGACCCCGAATACTTCCAAGAACGGAGAATTTGAAGGAAGAACGCGGTTATAATAATAGATGGCGTGCTTTCGGACACTTTATCGCGGGTGGTCTATGCTTGCCGAGTCGGTCCCTTCCCTACAGCTCCACAGCCACCAGGTCTTGGGGAGACCGCATATTGGCCCATGGCGAACATGAAATCTGATGGGTTGAACTCGCGATATGTTTAGATCAGCCGAACTAATCCCTATCTAGAAAGCCTTCTAGGCCTTCTAAATCATCCGAACGGTTCTGCCGCATCCCCACGAATTCCATCAAATGCCTTGATATGACAAGGATGCATTACTGATTACTATCTTGGATCTGCATGTCTTCGTGATCTCCCCGGAGCTAATGTAGGAACTCACCGGGGTAGCTTAACTATATGAGGTTATGTTTTCGTCCTTTTAAATCCTTTCCTCTTCCCTCTCTACCTCCTCCTTTCCTCTCCATCCCTTCCGTTCTTTCTCTATCTTCTCAATTCTTTTAGTCCTTTTTGTACTCGCGCCATAATGTTGTTCTCCATCTCCCTCCTCCTCAGTTTGGGCTTAGTGGTGAATGCCACTCCTGCCCCTCTCGAGGATGCCAAACTTGGTGCAGTAGCGTCAGAATCAGCTGTTTGTTCGCAAATTGGAATTGACATGCTGCAATGTGGCGGAAATGCTGCAGACGCAGTAAGTTCTCGTTGCCATTTGCTTGATATCAGGACTAATTGGGTTGTATTAGCTTGTAGCGACACAGCTCTGCGTCGGGGTTATTGGGATGTACCATTCGGGGATTGGAGGCGGAGGCTTCATGCTCATTCGCTCCCAAAATGGAAGCTATGATTTCATTGACTTCCGTGAAACTGCGCCTGCGGCCGCCTTTCAGGACATGTTTGCTCCTGAATTCGCGGGTACGACGGCTTCGCTTTACGGTGGTAAGTTGTATTCTTTCGGCTCGGGTAGACCCAGCCTTGTCATGTGGATGCTGACATTACCATAGGTCTGGCAAGTGGGGTACCTGGAGAACTTCGTGGCTTGGAGTACCTGCATTTCAACTATGGGAATCTACCGTGGTCTAAACTCGTGATGCCCTCGGTAAAGCTCGCCAGAGAGGGTTTCAGAGTCACGGAGGATTTGGTAAGATATATGAATGGTGTTAAGAATCCCTACAACTTCTTCGTTAATGAGGCAACTTGGGCCTTGGATTTTGCACCAAACGGAACACTAGTGGGGTTGGGAGATACTATGACCAGAAAGAGATATGCCGATACTCTCGAAATTATCGCTGAACATGGCCCTGATGCTTATTATTCTGGAGCAATTGCAAACACCACAGTTCTTGCACTTCAGGCATCCAACGGGACAATGACACTCGAAGACATGGCAAGCTACACAATCGCGAAAAGACCGTCATCCAACATCACCTACAGAGGATACAAGATCCACAGTGGAAGTTCACCTTCGGGCGGACCCGTCGTGTTGAGTGCTTTGAAAATCGTGGAAGGATTTGACATGTCATCTCCTTCAAATTTGAACCTTTCCACGCACTATTTGGACGAAGCTATGCGATTTGCTTACGGGCAACGAACCCTTCTCGGAGATCCTACGTTTGATACAAACTTGACAGACTATCAACACAACATGGTCTCTGAGAACATAGCAGCCGAGATAAGATCAAAGATTTCCGACACCAATACCTTGGAACCTAAAGAGTACAACCCAAATGGCTATTCTATTCTGGACGACAAAGGAACAAGTGCTGCAGTTGCTGCTGACAACAGCGGTCTTACCATTGCCTGCACGTCAACTATCAACACTATTTTCGGAAGCAGAGTCATGATTCCCGAGACCGGAGTCATCATGAACAACGAAATGAATGGTATGTCCCCTTCTCACCTCCCCGTTTTAGATTTAGCTCACCATTTCTGCAACAGACTTCAGTATACCTAATGCAACCAATGCCTTTGGCTACATTCCAACCGAAGCGAACTTCATTCGACCAGGCAAGAGACCGCTATCATCGATCTCTCCCTCCATTGTCGAGTATCCTGATGGCAGAGTGTACATTTCCCACGCTTCTGCAGGAGGATCTCGCATCATTACTGAAGTAATCCAACACCTATGGCACACACTCGACCAAAATATGACCTCCGCCGAAGCTCTCGCTGAGCCAAGATTCCATAATCAACTTTCACCTAATACTGCCTCTTTTGAATACTCATACAACAATGCGACAACCTCATTTTTGAGCAGTCTCGGAGTCAACGTGACTTTCACAGTACCGGGAGGATCAACAGCACAATCAATCAGAATACTGCCCAATGGGACTTTTGAAGCTGCCGGTGAGCCGAGACAACTCAACAGTGCAGGATATGCCATTTGAGTGAGTGATTTGGGGAGGATTTGATTTTTTGTTGCAAAAAACACCAGCGAGTACTTTGCGAAGTACTCAGCATTGTATAATGATAATGATAGTGCCTGCATGAAAGAAAAGTTTAGAAATAAAAGTATTGTTTTCTTGAGCCCAACGGATGCTGTGTGAGATTTCCTTGGGTTGATAACTCTTTTACCACAAAAGGGTTCTTGTACGAGTACTGTAAAAGGCTTAATTGTGCGGCTCGAGTTGCTCCCTAATGCCACTGGTTTTCGGAAATACGGAGTCATACTCCCGTATGTATGTCTTAATAGAGGCAAAGATTATCGGATGGGCTGACATCCGCTTCTTATGAGAGATCTTTGCCCCCTTAGGCCGCCAAAGTGACAGGGTTGCCACGAGAGGGAAGAGGATAAAAAGCGATTATTGTACCTAGTGACCACCAAGGTCTCCATCTTTGATATTGATGACAGATAGAATGCGTGAGAAAGACCAGATGGTGGTACTGTAAGACCAAGATCAGACAGCATAATCACAAGCCCTCAGTTGGTTTCTATGTCTCCCTCGATAAGATGGCTTTTTCCAAACCGTAGAATTGGGTTTTTGACGATGACGCTGTGCGGTCCATTGGTAACGAGAAATCTAGAAATAGCCATGGGTGTTTGTTGTCAAATATCCACCTGGGCCCTCGGTAAGCGGGGATGGAAAGGAGGGGTAATTCAACAGTCACATGACTCGCTCCCCTTGACCAATTGAAGGGAATTGAATGATGGAAGCGCAGACGGCAATGCTCCAGCATACCGCGCCTTTTATCACAGGGTAAGTTAGAAAGCAACGAACGAGCGCCCGCCAGCGCTTACGGGTTTTTGTCTTGGTCACCGTCTTTCGTCCCAGCGCCAATCACGGGCCGCATCACACAGATTCACACTGCATGCAGCCGCTGACCGGGGTGATCTGCCAGTCCTCCCACCCCTCCAAAGATCCAGCACAAAACCACTGGCTCGTCTATTCGAGGCTTGCAGCACACCGTTACCCCATGGTCTTGTTGGACCAACACAGATATCTATTTTCAGGTCCTTCTTCTCGCACTTATCGCCTTCCGATGCAAGAATGCTGCATGTCAAAATTAACTCTTTAAACGCCAGGCCCAGACGGGTCGTAGGGTTGGCTGCGCTGGAGAATCTCCTGCAGCCTCCGAAAGTGGCATGGGAGTATATATCTTGAGCGTGGTGCTCTGATTTCCTAATATGTACCAACACAAGCGTCTTGGTATGGCTTTATCTCGACGGCTTTCCTCTGTGTCTCTTTATTGTTGAATCGGAGAGTTCCATTGACTTGAGAACCTCTGCGTATCTGGGATATTTGCTCCAATACTTTTACAACATGACATCTGGGAACATGGCATCGGGTAGTGGATCCTCACCAGGGGGTTTACAATTATTTCCTCCTCCACCAAAGAAAGCGAAGAACCCATCGAGGATACCAAGTACGAGGGGGATTGGTAGTGAGCCTCAACGACCACCTCAAGCAGCAGTTGAATACAGACCGGAGTCACGGAACTTTTCTCTGCCAAATCCCTCGAGACCGTTACCTCATGCACAGGCATCGAGTTCCTCACAACCACCAGATACAATCTCGCCTATCGCTCAACCATCACAAGCACACATTGCCGCTGAAATTCCTCGATCACATACCTCACTTTTTGAAGCACCAACCCTTGTCAGGAGTAATAGCCTTCAGTCTCACTCCTCGATAGCGAAAAATGGTATTGCGTCGCCTTCTCGGGGGGAAGAACCTGTGATGCGATCCATATTCCCACGGTACAATCCTGAACTGCCACTGGAATACCAGTCATACTTTCCAACTCAACAGTCTTCCACACACATTCCCAAAACTGTTATAAACCGACGTCCATACTCACCCTCTATCCACGAACAACGAAGTCCAATGTACACTGGAGGAATGCAATCGCCACTGTCCATCGGTTCTGCTGCTGGTAGATTTCCTCAACACCTTCAAGATGAGCCAGTCATGGAACCTTCAAATCTAGAAGAACTTAAAGAATTATGGAAAGTCGCCAACGGTTGGCGAGTCTCGGCTTCAGAAGGTCGAACATTCTGTCTGAAAATGACTACCGCTGCTGAAGAACCCGTTCATACCCTCTCAGCTTCCTCTGGAACACCGTTCTACACCTTAAAAGTAATACCCACATCCACCTCCGCCCAAGTTTCTATGACACGACAAGATCCCAATCGTGGGCCCCACTCAACATCATCACCTCGAATAGGCAGTTCCCTCCGCTACAAAGAGAAGGACAAGGACACCGACGTCCTCAGCAGCACGCTTGAAGAACCCGCTCGTCGTCTCCCACCAAATGATGGACTCGTTGCTCTTCTGTACCCTCGCGCTGCTTCAAACATGGCACTGGACATGGTATCCAAACCCCACCGCGCCGACAGCGCAGCCATAATAGCAGCCGCAGAACGAGAGGCAGGAAGACTAGTATGGGACGTCGACAGCGAGAAGTACTACCTGGTCCACCCGGCCCTCCAAACCCCTTTCGTAGTCTGCATCTCCTCATCGCCAGCTTGGTCACGGGTCGAGTACACCCTCGAACATCCCGAACTACCTCGGAATCTCGTGCGACTCGTTCGCGACGGGGCCGGCACGGGATTCCTGGAAGTCGATACCAGTTCCGCGGCCCGAATCGACGCATTCTACATCGTCGATGTGGCGATGTGCGCGATCATGCTAGTTTCCACGGAAGAAGAGAAGAAACACCACATCGAGCACTTCGAGGCACCTCCCTCCATCGCTCCTCGCTCGCCGCATTCGAGTATCACGCCCGGCTCCCCGGGTCGAAGAAGTATGTTGGGACGCAAGAAGAAAGATAAGAAGCGCGAGATGCCGAAAACGGAGGCTTTCGAGCTCGATCTTGAGGATCAGAGTCAGAATAGTCTCAAGGGGTTCAAAGCACCGACCAAGCAGAAGGAGGAGAAGACACCTGGGTGTTGTGGACTTCTTTGGATGCTTGTGAAATGTCTGGCTTGGAGTGTAGCCCTGATCTTTAAGGGGATTGGGAAGACGGTTGTGTGGATTTGTGGGAGGAGGAAGAAGAATTCCAATTCTTCTTCCTCTTATTCGTAGTAAAAGTAAATACGTGGAAGCTGATACACTTGTAAATAGTGGTTTTCTTTGAGAGTGTGCTGTATATACCCCCCCCTTTTGGATTTGACTTCAGCTTTGAACTGGATATGCTGGAGTTTGGATGGATATTATGAGGTTTTGGGAAGGCATTGGGAATTAGTGAGCATGGTCTCATGGGATATGATGGGGATGATATATATAATTGTAGGGTTCAGCATGCGAAGACATGTCTGCAGAATTAAATCATCTTACGCTCCTACACCGAATATCTCTACATTTCTATTGTAGGACACGCGAGCTTGAGAAGACCCGAAGTGGAAGAATGGAAGAATTGTAGCCTGCTGTTGAAGAAAAGATTATGAAAGTTACTTGAAAGTTCCACTCCCCTTTCTTGTTGCTCGAACTCACTAAGCCCTCGTTCGAGATGGCTAGGCGAAGAGAAGCGGATTTTCGACTTCTTCGCATCTCTTCATACTAAGTCAGTGCTTTTGTAATCTAAGTCATGGACACACTTGACCACATGACTGACCAGTGACTTGTATGACTTTGCAAGTATAGGGCTAGGAGAACCAAGGTAACAATAGGTGTGAAGCATGAAATCTTGGACTGTAACAAATTTTAGGTTACAAATGTTGAAGAGTGGATGTAGGTACTCATCACCAGTGGGAGAGAGGTAGTAATGCTCTAACCGAGCTAAGAAACAGTGCAAAAATATATAGAAGCTAAATGAGAAATAATATCATTAGAGCGAATGATTCGAACGTCTTAACAATGTTTCCAGTATGTCAAAGAAGAGTTTCGGTTCTCCAAAAGCGCTAAAAAAAATGCTTGATAAAGTAAAGTATATCGAGAGGAAAGTTTTGATCCAAAAACAAAAACTGGGAACCTGTATTTACAAGTTGGAGACAATATTCAACCAAGTTCCTGCCACTTGAGAGAACTTTGGTTTGCACAAGTCTCTATTTCAGATACCTGTCTATGCTGTTTCTCCTGATCGAATCTTAGCTATACACTCTAATTGGCCTGTTAATGAAGTATAACCTTATAGACTCAGGCACCAATCCTCAAATATTTAGACTGTTCCAAATGAGTAAAGCTGACCCGCAAACTCCTCTGTACCGTGCCACACGGTCTCCCAATTTGTACTCCATCCCTTAGTTACAATGAATATGCCTTCTAGAAAGATGGTTGCCAAGATTAATTCTGATTCGAAATCCACAACCCCTTCATCTTTTTCGGTCCTTGACTTTGAACTTGACGCCAAACTTATTGATTCCGCCAATCGTTGCTGTTTTCGCCATACCGGCCCTTTGCAGCTCAAGGGCTTGTTCTGTCTGAGTCAAAGTATCCAGTCTCTCCTTCGCAACTTTCAACCTGTGCTCTAATTTCTCCCGCTCCCTCCTCTGTAATTTTCTTAGGGCCTTCTCTTCTGGCGACAGCGTTTCGTCTCTATCCTCCGCAGCTTCGATTTCCATCTCAGCTTCTTGAATTCTCAACTCCATTTCCTCCCCCCCATCCACAAACACCGTCTTCTTCCCCCTTGGCGTAAATCTTTCTTCGTCTTCTTCATCTTCGTCATCCATATCCATCTCATCCCTCGATGTCGCATCCATAAGCGCAATCTTCTCCTCGATGGCCTTCACCTCCTTCGCAGCAGTATTCCTCGCCGTCCGTACATAACCTACATCCTGAGTCTTCAATAACCTAACGGTCTCGACACTCATCGCCTCATTCCCTCTATCTCCGCTCACAGTGCCGGTTCGATTCTTTCCCATCGTCGCGGGTCCCTTTCGGGATAACATGCCAAAGTAGAACTCATCGGGATTCTTTTCGAGGACTTTTTGTTTGAGGGCTTTGAGTTTGCGTTTCTTGAGGTTGTGATCTGCTGCTCGGAGGGAGTAATCCTTGATTGGAGGTTAGTATGAGAATTTGGATGGTTGGGATAAGGAATACAAACTTTGTGTTTCTCTAACAGACCGAGCTTTTTGCGCTCTTCTGGTTGGCCTCTCTCGCGATGGTTGCGCCTCTGGATGGCGTTGCGCATGGAAGACATGATTGCGGTTCTGTTTCGATACCAACTCTGAGACGATTGTGATCCTGGACGGATGCCGCGATATGTATGGAGATGTTGTGTATAGAAGCTGTATTTTTAGTCGATAAATGATGTGGGGTAGATTTTTATCGGGAAACTTTCTTAACTTTCTCAGCCTCATGTGGAATGAGCCAATCAATGCTACGCCCACCCCCTGCCGCGGGAGCTAGGCCGAGCTTACAGCAAAGTTCCAGAACCGTCGTATTTCACAACCTCATCCCAAGTACTCCACCAATTTCGATCCTCGGAGTAGATCTGGGAATAGGATCTTGATATACAATTGGGCAAAAATGGCACCCTCAAAATCCTCGACAATGTCCGAACAAGAACCTGAAGTTCCACGGTTGCCTATGCCCTCACGGAATCCATTACCACTTTCTTCAGCACAGGAATCGCAAGTGCGGGAGCTATATCATGCGAGAGTGAGGGGGTATTGCGCTGCGGAGATTAAAGGTGTGTGGATTTGCCAATTGCTATATGTAGAGGGAATTTCCTTCAATAACCGGAAATACAAACCTATATATGAAATGCACAATACATAATAATAAGAATGCTAACTTCCTCCTCATGTAGTCTTCGCAGAATGCGCCCTCGGCCGTACATTCACAGCTCCCTTTAAATGCCGCGCTCAAAACCGTCTCATGAACGCATGTATGGTCCAACACGCCACCCAATCCGAACAAGACGCCGCACGAGAAGAATGGTTCGCCACACGATTAAAGCGTCAGCGAGATCGCGAGAAGCGAGAAGAGAGGAGGAAAGAACAGGAAAAGTTCCACCGAGAATGGTGGGGGTTACCCGAGGTGGATCGAGAAGGAGCGAAAGGGGATGCGATTCTAAAAAAGGCGGAAAGAGTGGGCGGGTTTCCAAAGAGGGATGATGCTGAAGGGACGCTCAGTAAAGACCGCCATCGATGATGATGGGAATTGATATGTACAAAATGGCGTTTTGGGGGTGCATTGCCGGTGTTGGGTTGGGCGGATTGCAAGGGGACCTGCGTGTAACATAGGACTGTGCATACAGTGAAATCGTTACTTCGAAAACTGGCTTTCGATCGTCCCCTGATTGGCGTAGAGCTTGTACTTTGAAGCTCGGCAATTTCTGGATTAGTATGATGGGTGTTGGATATTGCAGGGTTTCAAAAGTCGAAAGTCCAGGAAAGCTCAGAAAAGAGAAAAAGAAAATAGCAAAAAGTATCCTACCTCCCACGAAAGATCGCCCAGGACATGAAAACCAAACGAACCGAGTTTATATTATTTTCGGGCTTAGGGGCGTGCTATATGTTTTACTTAAATGCCCAGCCAACTGGTTTTAATGACTCAGATTAATACCAGGCCTCGAGTGTTGATGTTACCTGGCCCAAGATAACTAACTATTCTGTTGAACTGGTGACCATGTGTTCTGTTGTTTGTGGTTATGAATATTTATCGGTTGGTGGGGTACATATTGACTTATAGGAGGTCAAGCTGGTGTCACGAGTTATTGCAATTCGGTGCTGAGAGCTAGATTGAGTAAAGATGGGTTGGAGGGCGAATTCGTTACATATAGCGTCGGTTCTTCGATTGTTTCAACTGAACTTCTTTCGCAGAAACTGAGAACACATGGATAAGCTTTGATAGCCTTTTTTCAGATATATCGTAGCTTGTGTAGAGATGTTAGTAAACAGTGTGATACTCCAATACTTCTTGTCCCCATTTCAGAGCTCTCGTTTCTTTCCCAATGTGAGACATTAATTTGACTTACGCTCATACAACAGGCGTAGGGATGATACAGTAACATACATTTTCTGTAGGTGACATGCTAGTGCAGCATTGACAAAACCATTGTTCACCAAATTAGAATAAGAATGCTATCCGAATCCTTTCCCAGCTAGCGAAGAACGAGTTTAGCAAGAACAAGTAGCACCGAGTCCGACTAACAGGCATGCTATTATCGAGTGGTTTCCATCCTCAGTAACCGTTACCCTTAATAAATCTTATAGTGTGAATTTGACCAATATTTAACCAAAACAAGCCTTTCAAGATCCAGTGAAGCATATGCCGTTAAATTTTCGTACGGGAGACTTCAGTCTTCAAGTCCATGAAAGGACTGAACTACGAGGCCAATGCTAACACCAATTAGAATTCGGAACTCGCGAAATCTTCATCCACAAATGAGCACTGTACAAGATACTCTGGTTCCTTCTATTCTAGTTAACTCACCATGCTCTCAAGCCTCCTTGCTCACTTAACCAATTTTATTTCGAAAATTCGATAGCATCCAATTGCATTCCCCCAATCAATGCTCTCTTATACAACACTCCTCTATACTAGAAACAATACCAGCCACTGGGCCTCACTGCAGTCTAAACTCAAGAGTCAAGATACATCATGAAGAACACTTCCCACATCCGCTTCCATGGCCGTCAACCCGCCTCCGAATTTCAAGGATATGCGATTAGCAGATACGTGCAAACCCGAGTTATCCTCAAGTAACGATTCGATAATCCATGATTGTATCATTAAGATCCTAGTGTTCTGAGGACACAAGCTCATGAATATTTTGGGGGTTATGAGTACCTGAAGAACGATGGATATCTAGAGGATGGTTTATTTCAACCAGACCTGTATGTGATCTGTTTGGAACCTGTTCCACCTCTCTATCTCGTACTTCTAGGAATACATACGGTTTCGTACGTTTGAAATATCGCATCGCAGGGGTGACGGGCTTTTTCTGAATTTGCGATGGCGGTTGGTGATCTATCTAATTAACACATAGGACCTCTACAAATATGGCTTTGTGTAGAATTACTGTTCGGAGAGGAATGAATGATGTTGTGATGCCTTTTTGATATCTCAGCGACTTTCAGCGATCTTAAACTCGTTTCAATGAACAAGGTAAAAAATACTACCCCAATCAAGTGCTAGTTATCGCGAGGTTCATAATTAGCCTTAACGCACCAGAGAAGCAGGATCAATCAATACACAGCAACAATAATAAACCCGCGCTAAAATGCCCTCTACGTAAACCGTCCCACACACATGGCTTACACGAATCTCCGAGAAGAGAAGCGGAATCGGGTTCCTAAACACCACGGTTGGGTGCCCAACCAAAGAAATGCGGTCTTGTAAACCTCTTCGGAACATAGGTACCTTTTTCTATCGTATGGCGGGTCGCTCTGACCGAGATTGTTGCTTTGAGTAAGGCTGTGAGGAGATCTTTATGCGGATTGAATGGGGGTTTGAGGGCGGAGGATTTTCAACCTCAAATGGGTCTCTGTTGCTATCTTTTCCCTTTTAACCTGGCAACTTTGTCTTGTGGTTTCGATATAAAATCTTTGTTTTTGTTACACTCTTTGGTACTATTTCCTAGCTGTGGGAATTTATAAGCTTATCTCTTTCGTTTTCGCTTAATCAGGAGAAGACTTTGGAGAAGTCCTCCTTCCAACTGTCACTACCTACCATTTGCAAACACTTCAAAGTTTTACGATATACTTCTTCACGATGGGACTTAAAATGACACCGAGTTTTCCTGGGGATTGCCTGCTTGGTTCGATGAGACTGTTGATTGCGATATGCCCAAGTTCGGCAGCTCGGCTCTTTCGAATCTAATGCAGACATTGCAGGGCCTGGGGTTATTCCATCACACCTTAAATAGTTCGAAGTTCGTGGATACTAACTTTCATAGATTTTGTGGTCTTTTGGAATTGCGATGGTTTTGACGTTAGTTGTCAGTGTTATATTGCTTGGAATTGAACTCATACATGAGCACGCTCATACCATCCCCTCAAGATCCCCATTATGCATCTCGTTCTCGTCAGGTCAAACTCGTCCGGCCCAACTGCAAGAAAACTACCACAGCCTTAAAGAAAACACAACGAGTACAATACGATGTATCAAAATGTTACAATATCATAAGACTACATGACGCATCTAGCTCTCCCTCACCCATCAACACTCTCAACAGCATCCACAAAAGCCGGACTATTCAGCTCACTTCCGCCCTCAACCCAAACCCTATTCAGCTCCGCCTCAATCTCCCCTCGCCTCTCCTCCCATTCCTTCACCAATGCAAGCCTCTCCCTCAGCTCCACCAACTCCCTTTCCACACCCATCTTCTCCTCCACCGTCCCGATTCGTTCCCACTCCCACTCCGTCCCCTCCTCGCCCATGCCAAGTGTAAGATTAAAAGTGTGATACCGCTTAAGACTAGCTCGAGTACTGATCGTGATAAGAGTGATCCCCTTCTCCTTACATCTCTCATACAACAGTCCCTCAACATCGCTACTCACAGCACTAGTCCCCTCATCAATAAATGCGTATCTGGGTTCATGGTACAGAAGTCTAGCAATACCCATCCTCTGTTTCTCGCCACCAGACAGGACATCCTTCCATTCCTTTCTGGTGTCCCAGCCGCCCTCACGGTCGGGGAGGTATCCAAGTCTCGCCTCTTCAAGGATGTGTATGAGTTCGAAGTCTCGACGGCTCTTGTTATGCATTTCAATCTCGCCATCTGGGTAGATGACTTGATCACGAAGAGTGCCAACGCTGAGATATGGTCGTTGAGGGAGGAACATGATTCCATCCGTCCCAATGCTTCTTGGTCGAGAGACAAGACCGCGATATACGGGCCAGAGACCTGCAACTATACGTGCCACGGCACTCTTACCAGCTCCATTAGGTCCGGATATCTAGATCTTGTCAGAACCGAGTGTCAAATGAGAAGAAAGAATATACATACAAGAAGGTGTTCCCCAGGGTGGACAATTAGGGAAAGCGACTCAACAAGTTCTTCCCCACCACGAGGGAAGATAGATGGAGCTACGATAGGCACGTTCTCCAAACGAACACCATCGAATCCCTTTTGAATCGTCCCTTGGACATCGGAAAGAGAAAACAGTTCCGTGTGCGTGCCTTGTGGTGGAAAGTAAGCATTCGTGTGTACTCGATGAAGTGTGGAAATGAGCGTGTAGACTCGACTTGTATAGCCAGCCAATTCAGAAAGATCTTTGATCGAATACATCATCCGTCCTCCGGCATCAGCTAACGAAAGCATGAGTCGCTTGTTGGTGATGAATTCCTTCATTCGACCTCTCTCTCTACCGCCAGACACAGAGGCACCAGCCAGTTCGTTGATTCCTCCAAGACCGCCCCAGGCCGGTAAGAATACTGGGAGGGAACTAAGCAAATAGCCGTATGCACTCCAACTATATTTCAAGATGAAGTCTTCGAGAATGTTGTATCGGATTTTCAGGGTATAGATACCCTCCATCCATTTCTTCAAGCTCTTGAACTCTTTGTCGAGGAATGTTTTCTCCATACTTGCTCCACCGTAGAAAGCAACTTCCTCAGCATTGGCAATCAGACGAGAATGCAAAGCTCTGAAGTCACCCTCTTTTCGGCCTTCTACTGCCTTTAGTTTACCAAATGGCGGAGACAGCCTTCGTAGAAGAGTGGCCGTGAGAATGTAATTGCTCAGTAATCCAGCGAAGGCCAGAGGACCCAGAGACCGATAAAGTTGGTAGTTGAAAACCACAAGATCTACGAAAGGTTTCCCTAATGACGAATACAACCCCGCTGCTGAAGCACAGAAGTGTGTAAGATCCTGAGTAATGAACTGGTCCGCTCCGCCAATGCCTCCATCCATATTGGTTAGCTTGTAATAATTCAGGTTGTCATTGAGATACAAATCGTGAATGTATCTGGTGAGACGCGTCCGGAAAGCAATTGAGACTTTGGATTGTAGGAATTTGATCATCGCGTTTGTGTAAGAGGCAAAGCTGCCAATTCCACACCACTATTCAAGTTAGCGCGGGGTAATTATTGGAAATTGAATCATGAAGGCAAATTGAGATAGAAGCCGAGCGTAGAAGTTCGGCTGACATGAGCACGGTATGTGACTTCGGACTAAATAGCTCACCTTGATGATTCCCCAAATGAAAGATCTCCCATTGCCCGCGACTAAATCTCGAACAATTTCTCCGTCTAATCTGGCAACCACAAGAGATAGATATGTCCGTAGCATCAAGAACACCCCATGACTTAATAACAACCCAGTCTCCTTACTCGACCACCTTGGGATCATGATACTTAGTAAACTGAGGAATTGATGTAAGAATGCGAGGTTCAAGCCTGGTTTCGTATGTGGTGGGGGTGTTTGAGGGGTATTTCCGCTCGCAAGACCCGAGGCTCTAGGTGGATTTAAAAACAACCTTCGATGAGCATCGAAAGTAGTATTCTTGGTGGGATGAATCGTAACCTTCGAGGTGGAGTCCTTGTATGGGACAAAAATAACCCGAGAGCCATCTTTATTACGCAATCCGGAATTTCGTCTCAGCAGCCGTCTCCCTTGTTCCTTTTCCGCTGTACGCTTCTTCCACCAGCTTCTTACGCCAGCACCCCCTGCAATGAGGGAGAGTGTCAGGAAGAGTGTGCTGAGTAGTTTCTTCGTTCTCGATGTGTTCTTGAGGCGTAGGCGGATGAGATCGGAGTACCGCTTCAGAATGGTGGCAAGAGGATCCGCGGAATGGCGCAAGGTAGATTGTGAAGCCATCCTGCTCTACCGTGGCCTCCCTAGGCCAATATATCCTCCAATGTCTTTTCTTTCTAGATGCGATTTGAGTGGTGTTGCCCTTTACATCTTCATCGCCCTGTCTTCATCACTGTATGTTCTCCCTTGTGCTAATGCAGTGGTCGCCGGGAAAGTGTCAAGAAGAGATTTAGTCCACAAACTTGGTCATCTGTTAGACGCATAGTTATGGTGACGTTGGGGTAGAGGTACCTACAAAATTGTACAAACCGGGGATGTTGAACATTTTGCGATTGTCGTCAATCGCGGAGAAGAGAGCAGGCATGTCGCATGTGAAGCGCAGCTACCAATCCGGCCGAGGCATGTGCAAACCCCAGCTTTCGCTTCTCCAGCGCCAAGACAATTCACCTGACTATTGTACCAAGTACTCATCATCATGGATGGCTCTCAAAGGAAGTACATGGTACTTATCGAAAGCTCTAGCTGGGAGAAGTATTGTCTATTGTTTATTGTTAAATCAATATACCGAGTTGTAAAGTCAATGATACACTAATTATGTAAGTCAACGAAAAATTGGCCTTATTTCTAAAACGCTGGGACAATTGCAGACGCAGACAATATCAGACTGCCAATCGGGTTGAGCTGAGAAAATGGAATGGGAGGGTCAAGGTTTCCCCAACATCCAGCCAAAGGTGGAGTTTCGTAAATTACACACCTGCAACCTCCAACCAGCGAATCGATGCACATGCACCTTCCAAGTACAACTTTCATACTACTTACTACTTACTTACCGAAGCAGGTGTGTAATTATCAGTTCATTCATCTTCGCCTTGCACGTTTTATGTTCTGTTGTGCCTTCGCTTGAGGCATCATGGATTCCACGCCACAATATAAATATATAGATAACCTCTACCAACTTTCTGAATCTCCAGGCTGAATGCACAAGGCCTTATTCCTTATCCGAGTCATTTCTAGAAGGTCGCCGGCAGACCGACCGGGCCCTTATGCAACCACAACAGGCGCAAGGCAAGAAAACGACAGAGGCACGTTTGACCCTCCCTCCCTAAGCAATTGGGGCGGGACAAGAAACGATGAATCAGGCGAGTGTACCGTACGGGAACAAGTCAAAGAATCACCCCTTTTGGTCATTTCCAATCGTGAATCATGTCATCCTGGCAAGTCCCTGTCAGCTCCAGCGTCCCTCTTTCTTCAAGCGCGCAGCGATCTGACAGAAACCATCATTGGGTCCAGTCAAATGGTCCTGTCCTGTGCCTCCAGTACCAAGACCCCCAACTCGGCAGCGGCGGGGGACCGATAGGTTCTGCCCGTAGCCGCCCAAGGTGGGGAGAGGCTTGTTGTTGCGCGTTTCTCCTGGACCCGAATCGTCTGGCTTCAGATTGGCTTTCTCCATTGTCGCTCTGTGATGCTGTTCGAGGGTCAATGGCACAATTGGGGGACTTTGATGGTTCTCCACGTACTCCGTAGAGAGAGGGGAGTGCTCCGGAGCAGAGAGAGAGGGAGCGAAGGACATGGGAAACCAATCCGCTTCTATTTTTACCCACCAAACAATGAACTACCCAACCAAGGCTAGTACCGGTAGAAAGACGCATGTCATCTCATGCTGGCCGACGGCATTTTGGGTATTCCCAGGCCTGTGCAAGTTGCACAAGTGCCTTTGGCGGGATGGACCGGCTGAGTCTTCGACAGATCTGGACCGAAATCCTGATCTCCCCTTGCTATTCCCGTTGTGAGTGGCCGCTTGATGTTTGAAACCTCTTTGGTAGTGGCCGTCGACTCAGTCGACGAAGGGTCCATAATCTATCATCTGAGTGAGGTCTGAGGTTCTGAATCTAAGACCACGAGGAGCGGGTCCGTAACGGGAGCGTTGAAGCTCATCCATGTTCTGGGAAATGTCGGGGTCAAGGTCGACGAGCGGCCTGATAGGAGGAAATCTCACAGCGCAAAAAACCAGGGCGCCTAATCTTGCTTGCCCCCAATGCCCTCCCAGAATTGCTGATTGTTGCCTGCCTGGTATCTCCGTACTCGAACATGAACATGCATCCGGCGAGTTGGCTGCGCTATCCTGCGCGTGCGTGTGCGTGTGCGAGCATTTATGCTGTAGCTGTACTGGAGGCCCCCACCGGCCTCGAGGGAAAGGAGCATGAACCGGCGATACTGGTAACAAGCCCACGAGTGCCTCTGTAGCCTGGGAGACCAATGAGAAATGCCGGCGGTGGGCGTCGAAGCTGTGTCGAAGCTGTATGGTGCACGCCGGCGGGCATCGTGAGCAGAAAAGGGCCTATGGATGCATGATGAAGTATCCCTCACCCCTAATTCGCAGCAAGCGACCTCTCCCTTTTCTGTCTCGCGTCTCTGTGCGCCTTTAACCTTGTAAGCCGGCCGCCACTACTCCTGTATCTGACTAGGCTGGTAGGCGTGAACCATTGCCATTGCCATTGCCATTGCCATTGCCATTTATTGCCATTGCCATTGCCATTTATTGCCATTGCCATTGAATCTCTCGCTCGCCTCTCCAGACCCTACCTTGTACTTCTTACCCCCTCTATCATTATACCCATCATTCACTTACGACTTCCTCCCTACCCTCCATACTACACACCCCGTTCTGTCTACGGAGTACTACTTCGTAATTCGTCGTCGCGCTGCCTTCGGCTCGTCCTACTCCACTCCGGTAGTCGCTAATACCTGCATCGACAATCTCCAATTTTAAGCTGCAATCTCGCTAAACTGCCTCTCTAGGCCTCGCTGCTCAGCCCGGGACTCTTTCGACTCTCGACCAGACTACCACCCAAAGTAGAGAGCTCCAACTCGGATTTGAGTGCGCGACCAAAGCCTCAAGCCTCCAGCCTCCAACTTCGTGACCTGTCCTGCATCACTGCAATTGTCTGTCGCATCATCATTGTCGCATCCTCTGTGGCGGCTCGGCCAGCTATCGACAATCGCATTCCTAGTCCTGACGAGTAACGAGATCGGACGGTCTGGCTCCTGAAAGAACCGACTCCCGTGAAAGCTCCCCCGAAGGTCAATCCAAGCACGCGTGAACCTCCCCAAGTCTTTGACCAACCCGACATCACAGATTGATCGTCTCCAAGACGTCCAGTCGCTTGCCCACAATCGGCTCTCGCGATTCTCGCATTGCCCTCGATGAGTAATGAGATAGTACAGCCGACTGAGCAAAGCTTGAGCCGGTCAGCTTCTACGGAAGGTACGAAAGGGAAACCACCTGCGCTGGATACCTCTGCATGTATGTATACCCTCCTCCACCAGACTCACCCACAGCTTGACCTGGTCGAACATGGCCCTCATCGTGCAACGCAGGCAAGATCGGAATGCTGATAAGTACCTGTAGTTACAAACACTTCCCAGCCCCCCAGTTCCTCAACCCAAACAACTGCGCAAGGCACCACGAACACAGAGAATTACGATCCACCAGTTCTACAAAACGAGAACGACTATTTGCAGGCATCTGACGACCCAAAAAAGAATCGAAGCCATCTCCACGTTCCATCGAGATCCTCCTCCCAAAAGGTTCAACCATCACCAACTTCTACGGGCTTGAGCGGTGTGACTGCAAGCGACCCAAGAGACAGCATTAGTGGGCGGTCGAAGGAGTCCAAGGGGAGCATACTTGGTCGGAGGCGGCATGGGAGTACGAGCAGTAGCAAAATGTCAACTACACAAGGCCCTTCTACTGGCCCAGCTGGAAACAGCACCATCATCAGCGCTACACCCATTAGACAACCGAAGAAGAAAAGTAGCATCTTGTCGTTCTTAAGCTGCTGTATTGCCCCGGACGATGCCAATCCAGTGGACGGTGGATCAGCAGTACCGGCAAACAAAATCTCCAAAGTGCCATCGGGGCGCCCAATGACTGCCAGCCGACCAGATCAAGCTACGATAAACCAACAGAGCAGCGCCATGAACCAGCCCCAGACCGAAAAGGAAGCCTTTCAGAGGGGAGACCCTGTGACCAAGTTAAATGGAAGTGAGGGCCTTGATACGAACATGGGCACGCAAAATACCTTGCCTCCTGCCCCAGCACCACCGACAACTAACGGCGACTTGAGCCGGCCAGGAAACACGCGTGAGCAATCATCGCCAGAAGTACCTAGTGAAGCTGAGTCCTCAAAGGCACCCGAGGGGACTTCTGCCATGGTGACTACCCCTGAGCCAACAAGGTCTTCAATTCCAGCCGATTCCTCCCGAGACCAGAAAGATGCAGAAGGTGACGTGAAGATGAGCGATCCTGAACCTATATCTCAGAAAGATGAAGCATCAATTCCTGGTACCAAGGATGAAAGCGTCAAGCAAGTATTACCACCACCTCCTCCAGTTCCTCAGCAACCAGGCCCAAGCGATGAGCCTGCGCCAGATTCGACTGAGCAAAAGCAACAATGGTTACTCCCACCTATTGCGCCTAGATTTCAAGGGAAGAAATGTCTGGTGTTGGATCTCGACGAGACACTAGTACACAGCAGTTTCAAAGTACGTTGATTTCTCATATATGTTGACTTCACGTGCTAATTTTTACCAGATTTTACATCAAGCCGATTTCACGATTCCTGTCGAAATCGAGGGCCAGTATCATAATGTATATGTGATCAAGAGACCTGGTGTCGATCAGTTCATGAAGCGTGTCGGTGAACTCTATGAAGTTGTTGTCTTTACGGCATCTGTTTCAAAGGTGAGAAGCAGTAAATCTAATTTTGATTGAGTAATTTACTAATTCATGATAGTATGGTGACCCTCTGTTAGATCAACTTGACATACATAACGTGGTTCATCATCGTCTGTTCCGGGAAAGTTGTTACAACCACCAAGGCAATTACGTCAAGAATCTTTCACAGGTCGGACGTGATCTCCGAGAAACCATCATCATCGACAACTCACCAACCTCTTACATCTTCCACCCTCAACATGCTGTACCAATCAGCAGTTGGTTTTCCGACGCTCACGACAACGAACTCCTAGACTTAATTCCCGTTCTCGAAGATTTGGCCGGCTCGCAGGTTCGAGATGTGAGTCTCGTCCTCGATGTCGCCCTCTAAATTCGATTCATACGTGACGCAATATATCTTGCTATCATAGCGGAAGGCGTTCGGTTGATACCTTTAGTTTCATTGTAGAATGTACTGTTTAATTTACATAATGGGCATCCAGGCGAGCCAGCTCGGCCTTTATGTGACGAAAAGAAGAACGACTAGCACTTGGAGCAATCCCCGACAAACGGACTCAGTCTAGAAGGGAAAGAAAATTATGGTGTCTCTTCGAGGCGCTGTAGGGAGGGGACACAACCATCAAGAGAACCCAGCCTTGGGAAAAAGAGAACGACAGAACAGTTTTAAAGGAAATCTTTCCTGCGGTTTTCTAGCAAAAAGAAAGGGTTCTCACGCCCAAAAAATACTGGGGGAGGATGATGGGATATTTGGCGATGGAAGGAAAAAAGCAGCCCACTACCTCTTTTTGTTTTTTTTCCTTTGTCAATTATCCAACAACTCTTTCTTTTCTTCAAGCTTTCTTCACGCCTTGGCTGGGATTGTCTCCTCGTCAACTTCAACTTTCTGCCTGTGTTTTTCCTTTTTTTTCGTTTCTCTTCGGCGTATGATCATTCTCCCTCTTGCATTGACCAGAGGGCTCTTCTTTTTTTTCATTCTCACTAACCCGCGTTTTTTTTCCTTATCTATCTGTAACAAATCATAGTCGAAGGTCATTGATAATGAATGCCTTCGCGAGGGAGAGATGAGCATATAAGACATTCGGGTCGTTAGCGGATGAGGTTTGAGTGCGTAGCGTCTGGAGCAAAATCCCAATTGTAAATTTTATGGACCACCACCTTTTGGAATTAATTAATTTGAATATGTGAATGTGAGGTTTTAATGGCTTTCTTGTGATGAACTACGTGTGACTTTGGGTTTGGGGAGCTTTCCGGCTTGTACAATGGTTGTGTGTGATTGTTTTTGATTCCTACGCCGACGAGCCCTTGTTAAATAATATCTTTTGATGTTTGGATTTTTGATCTCTCTTTTTTCTCCTTGTGGTCTTCTTGAGGAGGTCCGTCTATGACCATGATAGCTAGCACACTCGTGCGTGCTGTCCTTCGGCTATTCATTCCTTATATTTCACTATACGCCATATGAGCGATAAAGCTACCAGACACCGTGGTGTTAATAATATATAAGGCCCTGTTTGGATTAGATTATTTTCGAGATTATTTCGTAGATTATCCCCTCAGCTGCGGCCAGAATCACACTGAACCGTGCGCATTTAAGCAATCCAATTAGACCCTCTGATTTTATGAGTTTTGGGTGCAAAATGTACAATATCTAATGAAAACTACGGCAAAAGTGCCTTTCTTTATATAACTAGACATCTTATTAGGTATATACAAGCGTTTTTTAATGCTCCAAAGCCGCTCCGCGGTTATTATTAGGAAATGCGCCTAATATAACCCTTTTATATAGCGAACTCCGGGTAGGTAAACTTAGTACTATTGTATTAGAATTATCGTAGGCTAAAAGCGTGTTTCAGGCTTTTTAAAGTGTAGTATATATAGATAGTGAGCTCCTAGATCTCTTGTATCTAGTTGCGTATCTTTAGACTTTACAATAATAGAATAATATAAAATTAAAGATACTAGAAAAGTTGGTGTTCCTCGCCCTTGCACGGGCCACCTAGTGTGATTCTGGCCGCAGTTAAGGGGATAAAATAATCTCATATAATCTCAGCAATCCAAACGATTTCCCTTAAATCTAGATTATATTATAATCTTAAATAATCTCCTAACTCTACTCGTTAGAGACCTTATTACGAGATTATTTGCCCACACGTACGCAAAGACCTTATACTACTACTGTTACTTCCACTTTACTACTACTTTACTACTACCATTACTATTATCATACTATACGTACTCTACTATTGACTCTGCTATGTATAGATTATGGATTCTTAGGCGTCCGAAGATTAATTTAAGGAATAATAACGCCTACTTGTAGATACTCGTTATTCGCTTGGTATTAACACTCTAAAGGGATGTCTCTAGCGACTCTATCCTAGTAAATAGTGTTTGCGTATACGTAGTGTATTATAGTATTAATAGTATTGTTTGTACGAATTAATTGTACTTGTACTCGAGTAGAGCAAGTGAATATAAAAAGGGGGGTGAATTAGGCTCTACAAGGGTTCTTCAGTGTTCGGAGGAACGTTGCTCCGTTATAAATAATCTAGATTATTTAGCCTGAACTAATCTTATATAATCTTAAATAATCTACTAAATAATCTGAAAAAATAATCTAATCCAAACAGGGCCTAACTGAGATAAATTGTTTAGATATTCTAATATTCACTTCTTCAGTACTCGTACTAAAACTCACTACTCTTATCATATAACCCAGGATGTCATGTAGAACGATCGTTTCTTTCCCCCTTGTAACAATCTACTCTAGTAATATAATACTGGATTGCGTATGGGTTCTTTTGATCCGTAAGAAAATGCGTCTTGACGGTAGCTGGGCAGCGTGGGGTTGATGGTAACTTGTGATTCGTGAAGTTGGTCTTTTCAGCTTGGGTTTTTACTAGTTTTGTACGGAGTGCTAAGCTATTAAGCTTGGATTGATAATCTATGTTTAGACACAATGTGTTAGTGGATTTCGTTGCTCAAACGAAAAGAGGGGAGCGGGGAGGTATCATAACAAAGAAAGTGCTGAATATGGAAAAATTCAGTATAGTATCAAACGATGATTCAAAAACGGAAAGCTGAGCGCTATTGAAAAATGGTGTTGTAGACTTGTACTCGTGGTTCCAGGTTGAGGTTACAAGTATAGCTCTGTGGAGCCACCAATTAGTACATCAGACGGAGTGGGCACCCCTGCAAGCCGAGAACAAGCCTCCTTTCAATCGTGTCCTCAATTAACAATTCGCATCGCAGCACACCTACCTCCAACACGACACTTCGCAACATCCCAATTCCAACTTCCACTCTTTCAACCCCGTTCTATTCAACCTGCCACCTCTCTAATTCACTTTTATCATAAAATGGTATGTCTCCCATCCATCCTCTGCTGAGCTGCAATTATTGTACGATTTCAAAGGGAGATAGATGTTCATCTGAAGAAGACCGTGCTAATGGTTCTTGCTTTTCGTAGTCTTCTCCTCGCGCAGCATCGCCAGCGAATGCCCCAGGGGCGGTGGGCTCCTCATCTGCTCGTCCTTCGTCCCCTACGCCTCCGGGAGGACCAAAGACTGCGATTCGACGACGCGCTGCGGCGGATCAGAAGGATAAGGTTGCGAATGCACGACCGAGCTCGACGAGAGCGGCGGGTGCGGGTGGAAGCAGCAGTACTATGTTGAGTATGTTTTAGTCCGGGAATCAAGACGAGAGGTTGGGATGGAGAATTGGTCGGGTGGTTTTGCGATGGGGAATTGATAGGGCATGTGCTAATATGGTGGTTTTTTCCTTGCAGGACTTTACACTGATGAGAGCCCCGGATTGAAGGTTGATCCTGTTGTTGTTTTGGTGCTCTCGATTGTATTTATTTTCAGTGTTGTGGCTTTGCATAGTATGTTCCATTCCCTTCCCTTCCCATTTCACCTTCCCCAATCAATTTCTTCAGATACTAATCCCTCTCTCAGTCATCGCAAAGATCACCAGAAAATTCTCCAGCTAGATCATTTCCAAGGACATGCATGGATGTATGGGAAGGATTTTGCGACACGATACGAAGAATAGAAAACCAAGTGAAGGAAAGGCAACGCGAGAATGGGGACCGGTAGAAAAGTCCGCTTTTGGGTCCTGGGTTTTTGGGTGACTGATGGGATGTTATCAAGGACTATTTATTCTGTGGATGGGACTCGTATACATGGCGTGACGTTGAAAAGAGGTCTGGGTGTATGATAGGCACGCTTTTGACTTGTTTTTCTGCTCTGCAAACATTGGTCGGGCGTTATTGAATGGGGGTTCTTTTTATGCAGTGGTTCTTTTGTTTATGTCGTGATATCGTACCACTTTTTCTTTTTCTTGAAAGGATTTCTGATGGTTTGAATACTCTTCATTCCATGCTCCATTGTTTGAGTTTGAGAAGGTAGGCTTTTCCTGTCCCAATTTTGCTGATAGAAAGTTCGGGTATTCAATCCCTTCCTCCTCCCTTTATATCACTATTTTCATCTCAAAATTATCCAAGTTGGAGTAGGTTTACAAGTACCTACTAATACAAGATATACCACAACCCCCTCATTTCAGTTTTTTGATCGCAGTCTAACCACTCACTCATTTATCCACACACACACTCTCTCTCTCTCTCTAGAAATAACGTCACACATGGCTGATACTGGTCTGAGGGGGAGGGGTATTGTGGTTTATCTTGTCTTTACTTTTTTCGTTTCTCTTTTTATGTTCTATCTTTTTTGTTGAAAGGAAAGAGGTGGGTTTTGGGAGGTTGGTCAGGTGGTTAGGGAGGTAGCGATGTAGGGAGGACTGGGTTTGATGTGTGGGATTGAGTGTATATTGTGATCTTTGAATATGATTTTTTGGCACGCGTACTTGGTAGTTAGTCACTAAGTACCGCTTTTAAAACGTGAGCTCAAGTGCACAATGCGATCTTCAAATACGTTTTCAAGTGGTAGTGAGTGAGTGGGTTTGTTGGTATGGTTGTAAGATTACTTACTTATCCTCGTGTTGGGAATGAGTAATTTGGATTAGATATTATCTTATAGTTATTACGAGGAACCTCTGATCAAATTTTTATATCGATTAGTAAGGTAAATCGATGTTTTAGGTAAGAGAGTAGGAGAGAGGGAGGATTGATGTTTCCTCTTCTTCTTTCTTTTTTCTTGTGCGGTGGAGATAAGTGGTTGAATGGGTTGTTGGTGTGTGGGTGTGTAGGGATGGATGGATGGATACGCGTATTCGGTGGTCCAGTGATACAGTACGAAAGGTTGCAGCCCGGCTTACATCTGAGGACATCGCTCTTTCTTGTGTTTCCCAAGAGGGGAAGGGGGGTTTAGGTCATCGAGATGACTTGAGTTCTTATTTAATAATCTCTTTCTCTCTCTTTCCCTTTTGTTTGGAGAAAAGTCAGAAAAGACATTTGAGGGAAGCTGGAGATTGCTCGCATTTATGAGCAGCAAGCAATTGGAAAACTCGACTTCTTGATCAATCGATTCAATCTCAGGCCGAACTCCTTCCTTCCCTCCAGCGGGTTATGAGATAGGTACCATGGCTCTCCGTCTCACAACATCGAAACTCTCTCAGTCCTTTCTCAAGAAGGGAATGCGATTCCACGCACCATCACGTATCTCTTTGCGAGCAGAATCACAAAGTCTCACCACCCTCTCATCACTCATTTCATCCATTTCATCCACTTCATCATCATCCACACGGCTTTCACAACAAAAACGAAACTTCTCCAAACCCTCCCCGTCGCCCTCATCTTTGTCCAAGTCTCGAAACCCAGAACAACAGAATCCCAAACAGGAACACGATATCCCGACAGTCAGTTTCTCAGAGATCTTTAAGAACGCATCGAAGATGACGAGGATGGTTCTTTTGGGGGGTTTGGTGCTTCTTGCGACGGCGGAGAGTGTTACGTGGGGGGTTTGGGGATGGAGGAGGTGGAAGGGGCGGAGGGAGGGTGAGAGGGATGGTGAGAGGGATGGTTGATAGATGGGAGGGAGGGAGGTGTATACTCGTGGAATTCTTATTTCTTATCTGAATTATAAGCTGTAGACGTTTCGGCTGGTCTGGAAAATCTTTGGATGGCATTTTATCTAAAGGAAGGCGTCGGAAGCATTGGGTCTTTTGTTGTTGATGAAATCTACCCCACTCGTATCTGTATTTAAGGCTCGAATTACCTCACTTTGAGGATGTTAATAAACATACACCTCAGCCATTACTGTACCTCGATACCTCGAAATTCGTTATTGATTCTTCTCTGGCGTACAGAGTATACTTGATTTTTCTCCTTTCTCGGAGATGAAGGTTGGTGGAAGGAGGCTATGGAATTCATGAGAGACCAACTAGTAATGTTTGTTCTAGGGGACCTCGTACTGTGCTGTATACCCTGCTGGTTATACTTTCGTGGATACACCATCTCTAGCCACCCACAGTAGGTAGGTACTTTGGAAGGGTTGTACAGTAGGGTGGGACTCATTTTTGTGCGGGATGAACTCTACTCTCACTCAATTAAGAAGTTTTGATTCTTCTCTTCGACTGTATCTTGCAGGTGTACCTACCTATCCTTTCTCCCTGATAGAGGGAGTGGTACTGTAAAACCAATCCAAACAATAGATGTTAGATTTCAAAAGCATTTAGAAATCAATCATCCACTCTTCTACAATAGTTTCCAAATGAAAATATGTGTGTGAACTTGCACTCAAAGACGACTCTGCACTAGTCATTATTTCGTATTGTGGTTGTCCAGAGATGAATTGATTTTCATGTACTCCAAGGCCAACTAGTAATCGACATTTCGCCCCCGCCCTCGCCCTCGCCCTCTAGGCCTCTACTTAACTTCAGGTTTTCACGCTCCTCGTGTACGGATTGGTCGGCCGATTCAAGTCACACTCTTGTCACTTCTCGCGATTAAAACACAACTCATCCAAAGGTATCAAGCATCAGCCCTGACGTCCATTAGCTACCGAAGAGTTGGCTGGAAATTATTTCGTGTTTTTACAAGATTTTCTGCTTTTGCTAAAGCCAAGGCAATAATAGGTGTCTTGGACTCAAACCAGCGGATCAATCCGTACACGAGGAGTCACGTCAGGCGTTTTGAAAGTTAAAAAGCGTTTCCATGGTGTCCGCAGGCATATCCACTGAAATCCACCAAGCCGGGTTGTTTTCAAGGCTTGTTTTTGACAAGCTTCGATCCGGGCGTTGGTTTTGGTTGACTTTGACAGCTTGGACGTTTCAGGGATGAACTGCACTGCACGCGAAGCTTGGAATGATCTTCAGCATCATCATTCTCACAACTCACGATGTGGGGTAGATGTGTGTTTTTGATGTCCGTCAACACGTCAATACTCGTATGGAGCAAATGCCAATTCACGTGGATGTCGAAGAACGCGGGAGGTAGGTGGAAATCGAATGGAACACGAGTTGTGCCCCTTTTGGAAGAGGAGGAAGACTAGTTCCTGGCGGTGGCGTTGACGTGCAGCAAGGAACGGCGACCTCTGTCCAACCAGATAGCTCGGACACTCGGCCTCCCAATGACAATCCTGCCTCTCCCATTTCAGTAGGTGGCTGTGTAGGTGTGAGTAGGTAGGTGTACAGTAGGAAGGGGGTGTGCCACATCCACATCCAACTTTCACTGTCCCAGGCTGACGTTGCATCCCATCCTCGTCCTCGTCCGCTCTGCCTCTTCCTCTTCCTCCTTTCTGCTCAATTTTGATTTGGAAAGTGTTGGTGATCTTCTTCCCCACGACTGCACTGCACTGCTCTTTCCTCCTGTCGCTCAACTTCAAACTATTCTCGTTGGGTACACGTAACTACCTGTACCTCCCATTTAATCATTTCAACAGTCAATCGTTTCTGCCCGCTGTTTTTTCTTTTGCTTTGAATCTGCATCTGCATCTGCATCTGCCACCAAACTACAACACCATACCATCATTTGCCATACACAACACCTTCTCCTGTAGCCATGGCCAAATACTCCTTCATCCCCATACTCGCGGCCGCGACTCTTGTTCTGAATACCGCGTCCGCCGCTCTCGATCCAATTGTGATCAAGGTATGTCCATTGCTGAGTTCTCAACTGCAACCACGGAGATCCGAACTAACTCTATCAGGGTTCCAAATTCTTTTATAAATCCAACGGGACTCAATTCTTCATCAAGGGTGTAGCGTATCAATCAGGTATTGGTGCCAACGGAGGAGAACCTGCGGGAGTAAGCAAGAAAACACCAAACGAAACGCGTAAATTGCTAATAAATCCTACAGGGACAAACTTACGTTGATCCTCTCGGCGATGTCACTTCTTGTACACGAGATGTTCCATTATTGCAAAAGTTGGGAGTCAATACCATTCGAACCTACGCTATCGACCCAACCAAGGACCATACAACATGTATGAAGCTGCTCGATGATGCTGGAATCTATGTGATCAGTGATTTGGGAGAGCCGAGTCAATCTATTATTAGAACCGATCCTCAATGGACCACCGCCCTCTTCGACCGATACACCTCTGTGGTAGATTCTTTGGCTCCATATAGCAATGTGATTGGGTTCTTCGCAGGAAACGAGGTTCCCAACAACCTTACCTATACCGGATCCGCTGCTTTCGTCAAGGCCGCCGTTCGTGATACCAAAGCATACATCGCTTCCAAGAAATACCGTCCTTTGGGTGTTGGATATGCTGCGGATGATGACCAAACCGTTCGTGCACAAGTTGCTGCTTACTTGAACTGTGGTGATGCGGTATCTCAGATTGATTTCTGGGGATACAACATCTACGAATGGTGTGGGGATTCCTCGTTTGAACAGTCTGGTTATTCTGAGAGAGTCAAGGAATTCGCCACTTATTCCGTTCCATCTTTCTTTGCTGAATATGGTTGCAACAGCCCGGGTGGAGCTGCTGAGAGAAAGTTCACTGAAGTTGCAGCTATTTATGGTGACCAGATGACCCCGGTCTTCTCTGGTGGTATTGTCTTTGAATATTTCCAAGAAGTGAACGATTTTGGACTGGTGACCGCTATCAATCCTTCTGCCGTCAGCACTCTTGCCGATTATGCTCCTTTGCAGACACAGCTTGCCTCTGCAAAACCAAATGGTGTTGAGATGGGAAGCTACAACCCAACCAACTCTGCTCAGGCCTGCCCACCTGTTGCAAGCAACTGGAATGCAGCTGAGAAACTGCCTCCAACTCCAGACAAGGGAGTTTGCGCTTGTATGATGAGCACTTTGGCTTGCCAGGCAAAGACTTCGATCGACAAGGAATCTTTTGGTCCACTTTTCGCTCAAGTATGCGGTTACGATGGTGGAAAGCCATGTGCCAACATTGTCAGAAATACCACCACTGGAGTATATGGTGCTTATTCCATGTGTAATGCCACCGAGCAATTGTCCAACGCATTCAGCACATACTATGCCTCATTACCTGCTGCTGACCAAGCAAAGGGCTGTGACTTTGGAGGCAATGCTACAGTTGTCAAGGTTTCCGCTCAAAGTTCTTGCTCGGCGGTTCTCAGTTCCGCAACAGCCGCTTTGCCGGGTGGATCGGGTGGATCTGGTGGATCAGGCTCAGGAGCCGCTTCGTCTACAACCAAGAAGAGTGATGGTGGAATGGTTGTTGGAGCTTCATTGGGACTTGGAAAATACCTTTTTGCAGTTGGGTTTACCTTGGTAGCTGGACTTTCGGGGATGGGTATGATTCTGCTGTAGATGGTGGATTGAATGCTAATCAGGGTATTATGGTTTCTTCAAAAACCTTTTCTTTCTTCTTTTTCTTTTGTTTGATTAGGTGTGTGGGGTGGTGTAAATAATTTTTTGTACTCATTGCATTTTACACTTTACACTTTACTACGATAGAGGTACTTTGAATTGCAATTGAGGAAAAATAAGACGTTCATTACATGATTATCTGTTTCCAGTAATGGTGAGAGTTTGTCCATCTATCTAATTCCCTTTGGTATGGTACTTGTCTGAAGACCAAAGTGACTGACTCCCACCCGCAGTGAATTCAATACTATTACTAACTCCCATATCCTGTAGTCTTACATGTAATTGCGAAGATCTGAAGTGAGTCTTCCAAAGTCCACTTTCCGGGTGGTCTCTACATAGATTCAGTTCCCTCTGAAGATGCGACTATGTGTCCAGTAAATTGACGTCGTGAATGAGGAACCAGGTTGTCTGATGCTTAAAAGCAAGTGATACCAGATTCTTCCACATACAACTCCCCATCACATCACTCAATCACTCTCCAACATACTCCAAGAAACCCTCTAAAACACTTAGAAAAAGCCCCCCTCTCCCTCTCCATCCCCCTCCTCTTCCCCCTCCTCTTCCTCCTCCACCTTACCATTCTCATTAACACACCCCCTCCCACACTCACAAACAAACCCATACTCCCTCCACATCCGCTCCCCACTCTCCACCCCATAACTAATCGTCACCTCCTCCCCCACACCAATCGCCCGCTTCGCGCGAACAAGCATCCGTTGGCCCCATACCCAGCTACTGTTCGGGACGCAGGAATGGTTGATCCGACAGGCGGCTTCGAAGAGCCCTTTTTTTGCCCCGTCGAGACGGAGGAATGCGTTTTTGTGGAGGATCTGGGGGAGGGGGGAGGGGGTGTTGGGGTTTGGGTGGTCGGAAGTGGAGTTGGGAGAGAGGGCGTAGATTAATTCGATATCCTCTTTTGAAAGTCCCGAAATGGTCGTCGTGAGACTGGAGAGATCACCCGACGTGGGGTAGGATAAGAGAGGTGATTCGTTTAGGATCAGACGGCCTGATTGGATGGGTTGTAAGGCGAAGAGTCCTAGACCTCCCAGAGGAGAGGGACGGATGGCGAGGAGTGTGTTGAGGGTTTCGGGGTGCCGGCGGGGGAGGGTGAGGGTGCTTTTTGGGGCGAAGGGGATGAGGAAGGGGGAGGATGTTTGGGTTAATGGAGAGGCGGTTTGGAGGAGGGATGAGAGGGCGTTTGGAAAGTTTAAAATGGATGTGGGATTTGATGAGAGGGGTGGACGTGGTGAACCTTTTCTAGGGATTCTTCGTGTCGTTGTTGTGGTTGGTGATGGAACAGGCGAACCCCCCTCGCTAAAGCCCCCTGAATGCACACCTGCACTCATCAACGAACCATCCCCTTCCCCCTCATAACTAAGCGTATTCGAAAGTTCACAACTCTCACACGCGCATCGAAACCCATATTTACTCTCCAACTCCCTCCCCGTACATCCATAATCAATCGTCAATTCCTCGCCCTCGGCAATCTCCCGCGTCGCCCAGACCATCATATGGCCCTCCTCCTCACCCAACGATAGATCCGCCGGTTTCCAATGCCACCGACAGTTCGGCGCGCACGCGTGGTTGATCCGACATGTTGCTTCGAAGACGGCTGTTGCGCCGGTGTCGACGGTGAAGGCGTTTGTCCAGATGATCTCTCGATTCGCGGGACCTGGCATTGAGGGGTGGGTGTGGGAGTGTAGACTTAGGAATGCGGAGCGGTGCGCGGTGGGGAGGTTGTCGACTAGTGCGTCTAACGGGTCAGTGATGAGGTGTTTGATTGCGCGGTAGGAGGATGTGGGATATATCAACTTTAGTAATGGGGATTCGTGGAGCACAAGGGTTCCTGTGCGTAAGTGTTGGAGAGCGAAGATGCCGAAGCCGCGGTGCTTTTTGGAGTCTTGGATTTGAATTAGGGTTCCTAAGGTTTCTGGGGAGCGGAGAGGCGGGAGAGGGGGTTCGCTTGGTGTTGTGCGGTTAAGGACCCAGGTTTGCGGGGAGAGGGAGAGGGAGCGGCGGAGGGGGCTATTTGGTGGGAGGGTGGGAGGGATGCCTCTGTTTGGGGAGAAGAGAATGGTGGATTCTTCCATGATTTTCGAGAGGTTGAATGTTGGGTCTCTTTGTGGAGATGCGTCGGTGGTGGGTTCCAATTTGTGGTTGTTGGTATGTGTAGTGAGTGAGGAGGGAAGGTCTTTGTGCGAATTCGCCTTTGCTTTGGAGAAGGTGGCAGGGGATGAAGCAAAGACGTCTTCTTCTGTGATTTGTGAGAGATCGTAGTCCTCTGTTTGAAAGGAGATATCGGCGGTGTTTTGGGACATGGATACATCTTCCGTCTCTGAATGCGTGTTTGTTGGACTCTTTGACATATTGACCAGACGAAGGATTTCGTTATCCACCCTTTTGAGATTGACTTGTTTGGCTTCCAGGAGATCTTGTTGGCTGCTGTTGCTGTTAATGGGGGAGGAAACTGTCTTTGGCGACTTTCCGATCTCGATCTCGATCTCGACAAAGCTGCTGTCGGTCGAGGAAGAGTCCATTTCCGTGGGCTTGAAGATGTCGGCTGGTATTCGTTGTGGGAGGTCTAATCTTGGAGTATCAGGCTCTTCACAAGAGAGGTACTCTGAGCCGCCTGTTTCCTCATCTTCAAGGTTTCCAATGCCGCTGCCCTTAGATCTCTGCCTCGCTAAGCGATCGCAGCTTTGTGTTCTTGACGCGCCAACAGATTCGTAGACAGAATTCGAAGAGCTATTGTAAGGAGGTGGAGGAAGATCCTTGTCTTTGTCGCGCTGCCTAGGAACTTCTCTGGTAGTGCCAGAAGGACGCCATTGAGAAGTGCACACCAAACACGCACAATCAAAGCCATAAAGCGACTTCAACTCATCCACCAGATAACCATAACCAATTGTGACTTCCTCGCCCGCGCTCAAAGGCTCATGATTCCACAACATCAACCTACCCATTCTCTCTTTCGGCGCATCTGTCACCAAGTCATCAAAATGCTGACTAGGACCCGGAACAGCACCTTCATCCACTAACCCCCCAGACATCATACCCACATTACTCTCATCCCCCTCCTCGATTCTCCCACAAGAATCCTCCACCTCCTCCGCCGTACACCAAGAAAGCCTCGCATTAGGCATACAAGAATGATTAACCCTACACGACCTACACCCTACCACCGTCCCAGTAACACCCTCCACATCCCACCCATTCTCCCACACAATACTCCGCTCCGTCGTCCCCTTCCACACCCCCCATCCCAACTCATAGAAATCAAACCGCTTGCTGAACGGTAATTCACCAACCTTGGTCGTTAACGCGTCAGGCACAATTCCGTTGAGGTATTGATACAATGGCAACCAGGTTTCCTCCGCTGCGACGGAGGCGGGTGTTAGACTGTTGATTTGCGTGTTGGGGATGTATAGAAGGGGGCTTTCGAGGAGGAGGATGTTATTTGCGGGGATGGCGTGGGTGGTGAAGAGGCCGAGGCCTTTGGTTTGGGTGCGGGCGATGTAGAGGAGGGGGGTGGTTATTAGGGTTCTGCTTTTGGGAATGGGTGGGCGGTGGTGGTGCGACATTTTGTGGAGGAGATATGTCGTGGTGGTTTGTGAGGTTGGTGGTTTTGTGTCGGAGGGGAGGGGAGGTTGGTCGGTGGGTGGGTTCTCGCTTAATTTTGTAGGTGAAGTTTGGCGGTTAAGGGGTGAATAGGAGGTTGTAGTTTGTGTAGGTGAATGTATGTTTGTCTAGGTGGAGTTTTTAAGTGAATTACCGTTAGATTTTAAGTATTAGCGATCTTATCTTTATTCTTTTAGAAGATTTAAGAAATAGAAATATATTTATTTATACGTGCTAGAAAATAGTATTTATATAAACTACTCTATTTATCTTTGATATTTTTACCTACTTTAATTAACTAAGTTTCCTAAGACCTTTCTCTATATATCTTTTTTAAATACAATAATCTAAACCTCTTATATATTATATAAATATTCTATATAGAAATAATAAGTAAATTATTAGAATATTTATTAAAGAGTAATTAAAAGAACTTTCTACTATTTTAACTTAAACTTCTTTCTTCCAAGTTAAATACTTAAACTATTAAAAGTATTACTATAAAACAAATGTTAAATATAATTAAATGTTTTTTTTAATAAATATATATTATATTAAGAAGAGCTCATATGTAGTAAGTGCGCTAGCAATCACTAGCATGTGAAGGTGGCCCAAGCGCTAGGAATATATACTTAGTGCTACGAGTCTCGGACTCTCTCTTTCCTAGCTAGTTCGACTAAATACTAACTTCTATAACTATATCTTAGTAATATATTAAAAGTTTAAGTAATAAAGTTAATTAAACGATTTTAAAAAGAAAAATACTGCTTTTATTTTATTATTATAAATCCTATATTTTAATTTTAAGATCTTTTTACTTAAGCTATAAAGAATTATTAAAGTCTAGTTTAATATAAGCTTATAATAAGAGAATAATTATAATTTTAAAGCCTATAATTTAAATCTATAGGCGGCTAGCTGAAAAGAGAGCTAATAAACAAGGGCTATATAAATAATAGTATTAAGGTAGTAGGATTTTTCTTTTCCTTACTTAGGGAGTTACCGAGAATAATTAAAGTCGTACTATCTCTTCATTTTTTAGTTACTTATTAGCTATCTCCTTTCAAAATGTTTTTATACTATAGTAATCGAATTTATAGTAGAAAGAGGTAGTAAGTAAATTAATATACCGTATTTATTAGATTATAAGATAACATATTACATATAAAATGTCTATCTAGGGACCAATATTGTTGGTACGACCTGGTTGTCGTAAAGGGTGATACACAAACATAATCTCTCTTTGTATTCATTCGTGTATGAAGAGTAAAGGTAAAGAGAGGTGGTACCCTAAAAGCTTAAGTATATGAGTGGCAAGCCACTCACATGACCTAAAGCATATAGATCCACCAGGCTCTCGTACAAGGTGCTATTCACCAGAATTATATACCGACAAATATAAACCTTATACGCTAAAAGAATAAATATCTTAATTATTAATTTTGCCCTACTTTTTTAGGGTTTATGTTTCCCGCTACTCCTAGCCTTTATGTTTTACCCCTGAACTTATCTAATTTTCTAATCATTTAAGCCTATTCTATATTTATAATTTAGGTACATTCTTGTAGGAAGAATAAGATGTGGAATAGGTCCTGAAATCGTTCCAAGAAGTGGCTATAGGGGGTTAGTCATACAAGTAATAGGAGGGTAAAGGGGAATAATTTCAAAGATATATATTACTTTTTTATATACCGATTATTAAATATACTTTTACGAGTTTAGCTCTTAAATCCCGAGTCTTTAAGAGTAGGTAGTAGTACTGAAATAAGTGTAGAAATATTTATATAAAATTGTTAATTTGTGATTCTAGCTCTCTAATTGGTCATAATTATAAGATACTAATCTTACGAACTTTTGGACCCATATACGATATACGCATGTTATCTTAACGAGGAATATTATTTTGTAATCCAATTGTTGTGCTGGGTCTACTTTCTCTTTTGCTCCACTTCCTGATTTGATCCACTTATAGCTCTGCTGCCTAAATGCTTCATGTCTGCCTAAACCTTACACTCTTTATATAAACACCTTAGATAGCTACCTTTTACAATGCGATCAATTCTCCATGACCTTCAGTACCCAATACCCTTTCAACCCAATACCAATTAATACGGTAGTTGTAATTATATTTTCTACTTAATGGTATTAAGAGGTACACGAGAAGACCTTGGTTTGAAATAAACGTTAGATTAGTTGGAAGCGAGTTCTCTCTTCCATTTCTGTTCTCTGGTTCTTTTAAGGTGGCTCTTTAACTTAAAGGTTTAGCGGGAGAGTAGAGGATACGCCCTTCGAATAAACGTCTATACGGTATTTTATAACAGTCAGCGGGATAATAGTAGAGACGATAATACAAGTAATTATTTCCTTCTACTTCTCTAACCCAATTCTATTACTTACAAGGTTAAGTTGAATCCACTTATCGTTCGCTAGTTTCCGATCGCTGTCTATTTGTAATAAAACTGCTTTAATTCGTCCGCGTTTGTATTATCGCGAGATCTCTGGAGTTGCTTCTGAAGTATCCTAGCTCTTCTGCTTAATAATTGGTTGGGGAGAATTTGCGAGGGTTGATTTAATAGGGGCCATGCTACATGCACAGTTTTCCCTTGGCTTCAACCCATACATTAAGGGACTAATTTTAAGTTATTCATATTTCGATATGTATCTTTTTAGCACTGAACTTATTTCTGGTAACGATGCTACTATGTCTATTAATAAATGCTTCATTGATATGAACCGACTAGTGAATTGAGGTAATAAGTATATTCGGGTCTAGAGAGTTAACCCATCTTAGCCTTATGGTTTCTTTCGGTGGACGAATGATAGCATGCCATCAATGTCTTGACTCCCGTAAAAACCACCGGCTTGGTACTTTGACAACAACCACGACGTCGATTTTAAATGGCTTTATTTTTTGTGGGCCTATTTCATTTCATGCTATCGCCATGTAAAAAGTGGATTTTTTTCCCTTCTTGTGAACCGAGTTTTGACCCCTCATCCCTTTGGGGGTCGAGGAAATAGAAATGACACAAAGTGGTCGAGTCTGGAAAAAGAGGAGCGCCAAGGAGCTTCTGTTAACTTAAGCGAGATTTGGTGACGAAGCTCAATTCCCTTCACAGAACCCACAGAAGGTCGCGTAAAAGTCTCGTTACTACAGCAATCTAATACTTTGAAACCCATTACAATCATCTTTGAACTCGGCCCAGATATAGAACAGAATGAATTCAAAATTTCTGTTTAGTTTTCTCCCTAAAAACACTCCACATAAAGAAATTCCTAACCACAGTTGCTCGTACATAATTATAGTACACCTGCCGAAAAGTCCTCGCTTTAATATACAAATGCATCTGGGGCTCCTTTCTAAATTTTTTATGAAAGAGGATTGACGGGCTTAATGCTAGTAATTTGACAATGGTGAACAAGTCGACAGTAATTCAACGGATGTATTAACCCAAGGTGCTGGTACCTCATTTGCATTCACAGGTAACGACTCCATTTGCGCACGTAACACCTGTAGCTGTCTTCAGGATAGGTTAATGACTAGTCAAGATATAAAGAAAGGTTGGTACTAACCAATGGTGGGGCACATTGTCCTTCGCAGAGGCCTGTCACCTGACATGGGTCTTGTGCTGGTCTGTCCCAGGGGTGTTGTGGCATTGCGGTGCTAATGGCAGCAAGAGCCATGGTGATAAGGATGTTTGAGGTCTTCATTTTGTGATGGTAGAGTTGTCAGGGGAGAGTTTGGTGGTAAAGTATGATTGAATGATTAAAAGAAAGGACATACGGAACATCGAGGCTCTTATGTACTTCTCAACCCACCCATATCCATTAGACATTGGTATGCCAAGGTTCCGGGTCTTACGGAGCACATTTGACAACCCTGAAGTAGAAGAAATTAAATTTGCCAAGTACTTCTAAAATAGGCTATGATTATCACTTACGCACCTTGTCCAGCCGTTCATCCTGTATAATTTGAGACACGTCGGGAACAAAATACAAGGGGAACTTAGGGTCAAGAAAATTTATATTAGGGCATTTACTCCTGTAATTAAATATCGCTCTAGCTCTTGTTATTATAAACCTTAGACATAGAGAATATGGGTAGGAAAAGTGTTATACACGAGGGAAGAAGAAGTGAGGTTTTTCGCAACTTTGAGTAGAATCCTACGAACTTAATGATTTGAGGTCTTTGTTATCGAAAGGTAGGTAAATAAGCTAGCGACTATGAAGTGTTTTCAAAAAACATAGGCAGACCAGAAAATACAACATAAGAAGATTGTTTAGGTGTTGGCTTCTTGGATCAAATGTCTCTTCACATACTCACCCCTACTAACACGTTGTGCTTATTGCTATCTTTCCCTCCAAGTTCTTAATCGGCATTCGGCTCTAATTAACACTCTACTCCTACTTCTAAAAGTAGCAAAGTTCACAAAAGCGGGTTGGTGGAAATATGGAGAAAGATAACGTCGGAGTTATACCGTGGTAAACCGTCCTTAGAGAAAATGTTAGGGTGTAAGGGTGGAGTAGTAAAAGCCAACAAGATTATAATCTTGGGCCACTTAGATAACAGCTTTCTGCAGACCCCTAGAGGGAAACGGCTCATTGTAATCTTCTACGTATAAGAAGAAGGACTTCTAGCGAGTAGGAGCGTTTAGTGTATACTATTTCATACTATTTCGTACTCTACCCTCACACCCTAGCATTTCCTCTAGGGACGATTTACCACGGTACTTCGTAACTTACTTCTAAAACGGTATTCCCATATAATTCTAGATTATAGTTTCGTAAAATTACTTAGTTTCGCGGCGCCTTCGGCTGCCCAGAGAAGGAACGAGCCGAAACTCTAACTTGCCCGCGGGGGAACTTTATACTTCAAGAGCTACCTAAATTACGAAGTATCATGGTAAACCCGATTTGATTAAATGGTCGCCATGGAAGCTTAGGCCATGTCTAGTATAAAACGTAGCCATATTTACTTAGTTTTGTTTACTAAGAGCACACTAGAAAACAACTAAAAATCATATTAAACAAACCCTAACCCTATCCTAATTCTAGCCTGGGCTCATTTACCTTGATAAATCGTTCAAGGAAAATAGTTAGAATAAAAGTAAGTTGTGCTAAGAGTGGTCCGCAGGCTATGAATCACCAGACGTCGATAACAAACGCCTTGTTATATGTTGAATATCATGGTTAGAATTTTCTACCTAGGAACCTATAAAGAGCTAATCTCTAAGTAGCCTAAAAGGTAATATTCTTAACTTCTGCTACTTTTTAGTACTATCTAATATTATTCTACCAGTTTTCCTTGGAAACAATTCATTATAGGATAATAGATGATATAGAGAGTAAGTTGTAATTTATGTAATGTTTATTATTTAATATTATTTGCTTAGAAAGTACTATAGATAGCGTAGAGACTGAAAAACAAACCCAAGAATAGGTATGTTTTGTTTGTTATGATTGCAAAAATTAGCAAATGTTAGCTAAGTACTAGAATAAGCGATAGAATAAGCGACCGTACTTGTGTCTTCACCTATACCTAACAATCGGAATAATAGGGGATAGGGGAGACGCGAGCTATCTAGACCCTTTATACCTAAAAGACATCCACAGCCAGCTTAGCAGTTATGAATGTTAGATTTTCATATACGTAAGCTTTTTGGAATACACAGATTATACCTCAAGAAACTAATTTGCGGGCTCTATATGTATATCGTTGTTGCGATATATTCACGTGTTTATTCACGTGATATTTCGGGCTATATATACGCCCGGATTCCACGTAGCAAACACACAATCAATCATATACCACTACTACTTTTTGTACTCGTTGTCGTCTACTTTTGTTACTGTTTCGTACCTATAATAGCATCACCTACATGCCCTTATTATCCCACCAAGTTATACAAACAATCGTGAGTGTTTAGTATGTTTTTCGTAACAAAGTGATTTCAATTCCATTTAATTCACATTATTTCTATTACAGACACAACACTTAGGTAGAAACTTTAGGGTGATAGTAGATAAAATTTATATTTGTTATAAGTGAATATAAGAAAGAGAGTTGCTGTTTGTCGAATCTCCCATGAATTTGAAGTAACAATGTAGAGATCTGTCAGATTGTTAATCCCTGACTTAGAATGGTAACTACAGATCGTCTAAAGTCTAGCGAACTCATGTGCCCATCCTGTTCACCATGAGATATCCAAAGAAAAATTCTGCGCCTTACAAACATTCCATCCCCGATATCATCGACTCTACTTTGGTTGCACTCCCACAATGCCATCAATAAAAAAAAAAGAACACATGTTGTTCTTAAGAGTTCCTAGTCTAATGCAAAGAAAAGAAAAAAGAGGATTCCCAATTTCGTTTTCAGTTCATAGGGGGAATATAGCTCGCAACGTAGTTAAACTGGAACAGCTAGGTTCAAGTTGTTCAACTGCACTAGTATGAGTATAATATTAGAGCAACTGAAATTTCTAGGCCACACCTTATTAATGCTCCTGTGAGCTTTCAATTGATGGTGCACCTGATTAATACACTCCTTGATAGACGGGCTTATGAAGTCTAAGGTGGTCCATGCCTTACTGTATGGTGCTTTCAAGAGATATTCAATTTCAGCAATGATCTTAGCAATAATTTTAGCTACGTTACTGCTTACAGGGTTAAGCTATTGTGATTAGATCATGGCTTCCGTGTACTTTAAACTAAATAAACTTACATAGATTAACCTCAAGAGTACAGGACTACTAAAATCCGTGATCGGTCAACAGGAGTTTCTCAAGGGATAGTTTTAAATTTGGCTAGCTTTTGTAGAACTCCGGTATAAGCACTTATACAGCTTGAAATTAAGGAGTTCCTTTAGACCTCAAAGAAACAAATCATTTGTATTCGAGAAGCTAAGTATCGCAACTCCTTCGTTGATATTTAGCTTGTTATCAAGTTTATTCTGCACACGTCGCCTAGAGAAGTAAACTTTAGATAATCCTAGGAGGATACGAAGTCTGAAATAGCCTGGTCATCTTCAAATACGTACTTAGCATTCACTCGTCTCGCCAATTTTTCCGCACAAGTTTCGGGATATATATCTGCTTCATTCTTCAGCACCTTCAACTGTTTAGGGGACAGGGGGTCACTACTATGTTACAAGGTGGTTTTCAAGGTATTCTGTATATGAACTGATAAAATTCTTCAAAGGGTTTGAAGCCAAGGCGTCCTGTTTAATACGCCAAAGGAATGTATTTACCAAGGCTGTTCAGGACACAAGCTCTGAGCTCACAGCCCACTTCTTCCAAGCTGGAATTTCCACTTCAATCTGTATTGCTAGTCTCTTATGTCACATCAATTTTAACATCCGACATCATGTAGCTAGCCAAATCAAAATCTACTTTTGAATACTTCTGGGTAGGTATTGAGGTTGCTGGGCACGGCTGACTTCTACTCGCTTCAGGGCCCACCTGCGAAGGCTGCAATATAGAATTCTGTACATTAACCATGGTATTTTTCCTACCTACGCCTTCAAATCCGAAACCATTAACGATGGAGCACTAACTGTTCACGTGGAATTGTGACCAATCTTGTAATCATACACTTCGTCACCTAAGCTCTGTCTAGCACCTCGGCTCTCTAGCTTTGTAATTAATTGTCTTTTCCTCTAGTCTGCTCTGCCTCAGATCCCAGTACAATTTTGATTGGTACAGAGGTGAAGCTTAGAATGCGACGGAGTAGAAAAGCGTTTTTTAACCACATAGGTCTACTAATTGGAACTTTTAGGCAGACTATACCTAGCTAGTGATTACTAGGAGATGGTGGAAATAGCTAGAACCTAGGTGTTATAATTTCCTACACGGAATCACTAGGGGTCGTTAAAATTTAAGACGTAGTCACGGATTTTAGCCGAAAATATACTAAAGACAGCGTTTTTATAACCCTATAGCTCTATTACCTTATAATAGTACGGTACTTAACACTCTATACAAGAGTTATCTAGAGTATATAAACGAATAATATAAGTAAGATTTATTAGTTATTATTCTTATTTATCCGAGTTACTAATGATCGGGTTAGGCCCTCTAGGAACTCGGGAGTAAAGATTCTCGTACACGTATAAAAATTTCGTATATAGGCCTAATTAGATAGTTAAAAGTAGAGATCTAAGTACTATAAAGTAGACGTCTCTACTTTTCGGATTTTATACTTTATAATCCTTTACTAAGCAAAGATTAGTAATAAAGGATTAGTAATTAATCTACTTCTATTTTATTACTTTTATAAATATAAAGTCCCCTTCTATCTCCCTACTCTAATTATTATACTTATAAAAGTATAAATAAAGTAAGTATAATAAAGAACCTAAATACTAAAGAATCTATAATTTATATAAAGACTCTATAGATAAAGAAAGTATAATAGTCTCTATATCTAAACTAACTACTATTCTCTAAGAGAAAATAACTTCCTTCCCTTTATATCCCGACCTCTAACTATAAAATACTAGCTTCTAGGACCTTAAGGTTCTAGGTTAATATAAATCTTACTAATAATACTAAAGATAATATTTATATTAATTACTATTATTATACTTAATAGCCCTTTATAGTAATATAAGCTAAAATCTAGATAGTACTAAGTATAAACCCTCTTAATAAATACTACTATTCGTATCTTACTCTTATCTAAGTAGT